CTACTAAGGAGTTTCCTTCAGTGCTGGAAAAAAAAAAATTGCAATGAAACGTTAAAGGTTTCTTTTAACAAAATTTGTCCCTAATCAAATCAGATCTCTGACTGTCCATGTTACTGGTGTGTCCTAGTCCATGAATCTATCCAATATTATGAGTACTTTTACATTTGTCACAGTCTTATCCCCCCTCCAACTTCTTAATTTTTCTTTAAAAACAAAAGAAGCAGAAGTCCACCGAGTATCTGTTATTTTTATCTGAGTACCATGTGGTAGAAACTTCTACTAAAGAGTCATCCTCCAATTAAAGTGTAATTTTTCAATTATGAAAAAATACAACTGATGCAGATAAGGAGTCTTCCGGTAAATTCCTTTTGAATGTCTTATGGTATTGCAAATATAAATGCACAAAAAGACTTCTCTAACCTCTTAATAAAAGGTGAGTCAATGCTACCGTCATAAAAATGTTCACATATTTACCCACCATAAAAGGGAAACTGGCCTCAGAACATCTTAGAGAAAACACAAGGTTATGGGCTAGTCCTGACAAATGCTAATACTTCTACTTAATCGGTATGTTCTTGAAACCTAGGCACAGAACTGCTCCAACAAGATTCCTCAGGTCCTTAAAAAAGGAATGTGTTTGGTGAAGGTTAAACTGACACATTTAGAAGCTGAGACAGATGAAGAGTGGGAGAAACCCAATCAGCTTGGCATCCTACAAGGTATGAGCCTTGTGTTATATTTTACAAACTAATAACTGCATTGGTGGTAGTAAGGATGAGGGTGGAGGAGCAATACACTTCAAAGAAAAACATATTCAAGACACTTGCAAAACAATCTGGGGAAAATCGAGGAGATATTTCTACTTACCAAGCTCTGGTATCTGTATAGAAAGAACATGTACTTTCAACCACAGAGACATTTATTAAATTAAAATTTATTAGACATTTCTTTTTCCATAGCTCGTTATCTCATAGCAAAACTAAAGAACTTTTTGGTCATCACCCAATAACTTGCCCTCTAAGTGAGAACACTGAGGTGTTTTCCTGTTGGACCCTTAATTATTAATCCACACCAGTTACCACCTCTTTGTGAATCGGAAGGTTAAAGGAATATATCATTCATTAATATTAAAATCTAGAGGACATTAAGATTTCTGAGGCTTTAGCTACGGACTTATTTCTGTAATATTCTTATTTCTATAGTCCTGTAGCAGGTGCTACCGAGAAGTTCAGCAAGGTGTTTTCACTACATTAATAGAGAGGCATTTCCCCAACTCGTAAGTCTTTTTAATGTGCTAACCTCCAGGATTTCCTTTTAAATTGATGTTTTTAAAAGAAGAATCTCTTGTGAGGCTCTGGGACCAACCTGCTTGTCTGAATCCTGTCATTGCCGCTTGTTAGCTGTGTAATCTTAGACAAGTTACTTAACATGTCTTTTGTGAAATGCTGATAATACTAATACCTATCTTACAAGGTTATGATGAAAACTTCTGAGTTAATAATACATATATAAAACATGGAGAACAGTGCCTGAAACACACTAAGTTAGCTATTACTATTGTATTATTATATTTTCATGGTCAGCATACGTACAGTTTGAAGAAAAGGTCTGTATCTACTTAGTGGGAATGAAGTTAACTAGGTAACTAGAAAATTATATTGAAATATCTACCTAGAAAATAAGAGTACTGTAGAGAATGTCTCAAATGATCCTTTTAAAACATTAATTTATTTTACCGGTTTTTCCATTTTTAAGGCTTTTTAGGAAGCTATTCCTCCCAATATTTTCCAAAGTTGTGATGACTCATTCAGGAAACAAAACATACAAAAGCCCCGTGACCCCACTGAATATTAAGTTTCCAATTTTGCCTAATTCATAGGCTCATATACTCTCACCTGCAAGGAATAATGACTTTAAGCATCCTCTGAAAAATGATTGAAATTTTAAAAGGACAGAGTTTGCTCTCAGGAACACTTACATCTATATATCTTAGCATCTATTTCCATTCTTCTAAAGTTGCATCAAAGCATAGGTATAAAGAGAATACCTGGAAACTCATCATGATGTTCTAATTAGTATTTAATTAACAGGTTGAGATGATACATTCTTATTAATTCATCAATAATTAATAGATGATTTGGCGTCAAAATGGAATGCCCACAAATTATTTACTAAGTAATGAAACCTAGTTAACGGTGGTGGCTGTGTAGCACGGCAAAAGCTACATGTGCTCACTGCTGAGTAAAGTTGGCTTCCACTTCACAAGCATTCGTTCTCAACTAATACATTTAAAGAACAAACTAGCTTGATATTTAGCATTAGAGATACCGAATGGTAAAAGTAAAACTTGATTTTTACCTGCTCCTATGTTTTTGCTCAGCTGGAGAACTCAAAAGATAGGATCCTGATTCTCTGAAAATAAATTCGACTGATGGTCCCTTGAGAAGCAAAACAATGGGCGTGAAGATTTACCTAAAGAAGTGGCTGTCCTGGCAGATGACTTATTCTATTAATAAAATGCGTTTGCACACACAAGACACCTTCAAAAAAGTCGGGCCTGGAGAAGAGGTAGGAGGAGTGGAGGCATGAAACACATTTCCATCATACAAAGCGTGACCGTTTCTTCCAAACTCAGCCTCTTTCTTTAGGCATGATGAGCTGGCAAAGAATATTTTCTTTGCGAGCAGTAGGGTGTAAAGCTCTCTCTGCCCATGCAACTTGCCACTAGGTAGCTTTCCTCCCAACTAAGTTTCTAAGCTTTGCTGGGATTAAAGTTATTATAGTAATAGGTACAGGTACTGAGTCAAGGTCATGGAAAATGAACTGCTGAGCTTGTATAACAAGTGCTAAATATTTGGTTACTAAAATTAGAGAAACCAGAAACCGTAAGGAGCTGGTCATAACCAGTAATGTAAAAACCTGGTTCAAATGTTACCTCCTCTGTGACACTGGCCTCTCAGCCCAGGTCCTATGCACAGACTCTGATTACTGCAACTCTGAATTGCATTTCATTTATCTGTAGTTTAAGCTGCTTGAGGGTAAGGGCCATTACTATGAATCCTCAGTGCCGACACACAGTAGATGCTCACCATTGTTGAATGAATAATATCTCAACATCTTCTTTTGTTTCACATTTTAATCAGTGTTTCACCTAACAGGGGAATTTATTTGAAATAACTCCTACCCACAAAGTAGATCTAACATAGACTGCTATCCCTTACTAAGATGTCTTATCATTTGGAGTTATTCCAAATTACAAGATCGCATTTTATTTCCCAGCCTATCTGATTGGGTTGTTGTGCCAGCCACTAATTAATTTCTCAGATTCAACTGTACCCTTCAATGCCTGCTCTGAACTTCTGCACTAATCGATGATTCTTCTAAGCATTTCTCCTTTACAGCAAGCACAGTTTCTCAGAAGGCGCCTGGGAGACACTGCCAAATTCTAGCTGCTGCCGGAATGCTCAGTGGGCGTAGAACACCCAGCGATGCTTTGCCCCTGCCTTGTGCCCAGAATGGCAGCCCCAGCTCAGCCTGATGACTACCTTCCCACATGGCTCTCCCACACAAAGAGCAGGTACTCCAGGCCTCCCACCCGCAGTGGCACTGTGACCCTCTCAGCTGAGGCTGACCCGCGCCCTGGAGGGTGGCTTCATAGTTCCCTGGCGAGTGCAGACAGATCTGTCCTGGGCAATGCAATGAACTTCTCCAACACCCAGTGGGCTGCAAATACTGGATGCTGACTGATAAGGTGGTCAATATAGAAGGCTTGACCCTGAGATACAGTTGTCAATATAGAAGCCTGGAGCTTCCAAAATAAAAACTGAGGTAATTAATTACCTTTGGCTCTGAACTCAGACCAAAGATATTTATTAAAGTAAAATGTCCTATATCATGTTTTTTATCCTTAGAGAAACTAAGCCCCTAATTTTTTTTTAAGCTTCTATTTTCCTAAGCCTTCTATTTGGAGATAGAAGTTACAACCCTTAACTTCAGCATTGCAGGTTAATAGTTGTCCATAATGAAAACAAAAATTCCTCAGCACTTTCTGCATCAATCACCAGAAAGGCAGAAAGCGAACCACTACACTACAGAGAAATATGAATTAAGAGTGGCCATGTAGGGAGGGCTCCCCTGGTGGCGCAGTGGTTGAGGGTCCGCCTGCCAGTGCAGGGGACGCGGGTTCGTGCCCCGGTCCGGGAAGATCCCACATGCCGCGGAGCGGCTAGGCCCCGTGAGCCATGGCCGCTGAGCCTGCGCGTCCGGAGCCTGTGCTCCGCAACGGGAGAGGCCACAGCAGTGAGAGGCCCGCGGACCGCAAAAAAAAAAAAAAAAAAAAAAAAAAAAAAAAAAAAAAGAGTGGCCATGTAGTAGACACATTTTATTATTGAAGAACAGGACCTTCCAATTACTGCAAGTAGAATATGCTATCTGTTAGTACAGAACTATACCTGCAGCAATAACACAACCTAGAAAGTTATATACTGCAGTGTGGTGAGCTTGAATTTTGGCACTTACAAAGACGTAGGTTCAAATCCCAGTTGTGGCGTTTCTGAGCTGTGTGCCTTTGGCCAAATAACATAATCCCTGAGTTTCTTTCCTTATCCTGTCTTGTGATGATGGTTATAAAGTAAGATATACCTACCTTATAAAATTGAGAAGATTAAACAAGGTAAGCAACCATTAGTGTGATTAATTTTCCCTCCTGTTTCCTCATTTTATAGGTGAGAGAATATTGAGGCACAGAGATAAAGTTTTCACCAAAAGCACAGTAGTTTACAGATAAAGTTGAAACCAGGCTTAAAATACTCTTGACTTAAGCATGCAAACTTGGGAAATGAAGTATGTACTAAAGACCAGTAGCTCCATTCGATAAGGATAGTAATTTATTAAGTAAATAATAAATTATAGCTGCCTGATAAATGCCATAAGTGTAGAACAAGTGCAATTTATGTGATTAAAAATTTAACATATTCATATAATACTTTATGCTTTATAAAGTGCTATGACTAATATAGTTTAATCTGACCACAGTAGCCTTATCTTTAAAAGACCTATTTTTTTAGTTATAGTAGTAATTTCACAGACTAAGAAATTTCAGAAAAAATAAATTACTTTAGGTGTGAATAAAGGAAAATCATGACTAATTAATGATTTTGCTATAATTTCTCAACTTTTAATAAAAGCCCAAGTTTCTCTTAACTGTATATATCATATATAGAAGAGGTTAAATTAGAGGTTTAAAAAGTAGTCACTTTGCTAGGAAGAATAAGGTTGCTTGGATTTGTTGCAAAAAATATAAGTAAGTAAATGTGAAAGTAAACTTTGTATGGTCAAAGAAATAAAAGACTGCCACTAACAGAGGCAAATGGTTTTTCAAAATACATCTTTGTACCCTACAATTTCAATTCAATGGTGTCTTCAATATTACAAGTCTAGACAAACTACACCTTCCTTCAGTCCTCCCCGGCCCCATCTCTTGAAATCAACAGACACTAGAAAATAAATTTTAAAAATCCACAAAACTATTTCAAATTATTTTATTAGAAAACTGTTGTGTTTCCCATTTACAAAAAGTTTAAATGTTTCCTGAAATATACCACTTGCTGTACATAACTTATCAGAATCTTAACCTTTTGTACACTGGTGATGGGGGCCATGGAGGGTGGTGTTTTGGACTGGGAAACTGCATCATTGTTGCTGCATTATCCGATAGCACACACCCACCCCACATATTCATAATATACACAGCAAATGAACATGTCGAATATTCTTAAGTTTCTCCCTTCTTTAAAGCCCCTGACTTGGTACAGAATCTAACCAATGGACACTTTCATTATAGCAAAAGCTTCCAGCTGGTCCTGCTGATGGCTGTCCTCTCCATTTTGACCTACCTTGCATATTGTGGCCAGATTAACCTGAAAGTAATTCTGCCCTGTTACTTCCTTTTTCAAAAGTCAACAAAAGTTTCCCATTAATAACGTCACCATTTAAAATAATGGTTAATTCTTACCAGCAAAACACTTGGTTCTTTCATTTCCTCACTTCACCTGAGAAAAAGTCCACCATGATGCAATGAGTAATAAGGACAAATTTTCCTTGAAAACTGAGAATTGTCAGTTTTATTTTTCTCCCACACTCTAACTACAATATATTAACTCACAGCACCATCTATCTTTCAATAAAAGGTTAGGAAACTAGTTTTACTTTTAGCATAATGCCCAAATATCTGGCCTGTACAATTTAGTGTGAAATTAAGTCTAAAATGCAGGAAGGAAAAAAAAAATCTGAAAATTAGAAGTTCCATCTGACATGTATATAAAACACTTATACCAGTATGTATCAATTTCTTAGTAATGTTTCAAACAAAGGAGTCTGGCCAGCAGTATACTGAAGATTTTAATCTGCCACAAAATAGACAGTGAACAAACTGTGCCTGAGGATGTTAACTCGAAGTCGCAATCAGGGAGAAGCAGGGCCGTTTTGACTTATAAATTCTAATATTCATTGATATTTTCATGCCCAAGCGTTAACTAGAATGTATGTTGCCTTTTCCTTAGAAGTCTTCCCAACATTTTGGTCATTTTCCTTGTTTAAATAAGAAAAAAAAAAAAAAGGTATAAAATTTCATTTTCATATGCTCTCAGTGTGATCCCTATCAGTACTACAAGTAAGTATACATTTATAACGTGGAAGACAGCCTGCTCATACAGCACACCGTTCATCCTCTGTTTAAGGATCCCAGTCAAGACACCATACCCCTTTCTCAAATCAGTGTTATTCTCTGACCTCACGCTGCAACAGAACTATTTTTAGAAATGACGATTTTCTTACATAAACCTAAGCAGTATAGAAATATTCTAGAAAATATTTTTTGGTCAGAATGAACGGGCACTTGTACCAACAGCTGAGAAGTCAAACCATGAGAAGCAACTGATTATATGAAAAGCCTGGCTGCGATGTCCATGAAGAATTAAAATGTCTTGAATTTACAGAGCATTTCTCCTGTGCGGTCCATGTCAGCTCTGTAAGGCAGGCAGGGGCGGGTATCACCACCCATTTCACCTACAGGGAAACAGATGCACTACAGTTTAAGTGTGTCAGTCCATTGGAAAAACAGAACTCCAAGCCAAGGGTGATTTACAGCTGTCTCACGTTCTATTCCTCAGATTTAAAAATTAGAAAAAAAAATTAATAATTTCAGTTAAAACTGATTGAAAATAATGTAACTCATGAAAGTTATTTTGAAAACAGCATTTGGTTACAATTTTCAGTAATATGACAAAAGTTTTGAAGACTATTTTTAAAGAATAGCTTGTCAAAACTAATTGGATTAAGCAACTTCTTAGCAATTGATATACTGGGGCTCTAATTATTTTAGAAAGCTCTTTTGTTAGAGCGTAAGTAGTTCATCATGTCATAGCATACAAGTTGTACCACATAGTCTTCCTTCTGGTGATTCTCATCAGCAGAGAGTAACACGGCTCTGTGACTAGTTAATTAAATCATCATCCAATTCCAGTTACAGTTAGCTTGTCAGTCGTAGCAGAGTTGTTAAAAGAGAGAAATAAGCTCTTCTAACCTTTACAACAATTAGTCAAATTTTCATATTATCAATGGAATAAAAAGGATAGTTCTCACCTGCTTCACAGGCCTTCTATTCTTTCTGAAGTTTTACATTTCACATCCATTTTTTCCTAATGTCATATTACAGTTGACCCTTGAACAACGAGTTTGAACTGTGCATGTCCACTTACACGTGGAGTTTTTTCAGTAAATACCGAGTATAGTACTACCTGATCCCCGGTTGATTGAATCCCCAGATGCAGAACCATGGATATGAGAACCAACTGTAAACCTAAACGCAGATTTTCAACTGCTTGGGATCAGCTCCCCTCACCCTCACAAGGGTTGACTGTGATTTTAAATTCCTTCTCTCCTCCTGTAGAATCCCTTTTAAGTTATTCCAGGGAAATTACTAATATACGTCCAGGTACTAAACTTCTGTGTCATGACATTTAAAATACAATAGAAATTTTTATATTTTCTCATATTTTATTGCACAGTATAAACTTGATTAAAATGCACTAAGTAACAACATGTGTTTAGATCAACACTAACTTAAAATGTTAGGTAGGAAATAGCATAACTTACTTTAATATATCCCAACTCAGTATGAAGGTGAGCAGTTTATTTCTGAAGGTTTAGATATTTTCACTGTAGTTTATTATCAAAGCAAACAAAATATTTTGGTCTCTTTCTTCACCTTTGATTCTTTTCAATTCTTCTTCTTTAGTTCACAGTGTCATAGAAGTGTAAAATAAGACTGATAGAAACCACTCTAAAACATATGGCTTTATATACATAAAAAATTCAATAATGTTGCCACAACCCCTAATACAGAGTGATTCTTATTTATCTGCTAGTATCCAGAATAAACCTCTGTACATGCTAAATTGTTCAAGTATATCTAGAGCAGTGCTTATAAAAGTGACGTCCCACTGCTACATTAATGGGCATCTCTTTGAAGACCACTTCTAATTTCAACACAATTAAGGTAGAGTTCTAAAATTTTTTGCTTTTACAACTTATCATACATCCTCAAATATTCTAAAATGCTCCAATGAGCCAAATATCTAATTTAATTTACATCTAGCTGAACATCCCTTTTGTACAGCACCAGTGGTTAAATTAAAAATGCATCTGACTAACCAAATGTTCTCTTCCTTCCATTAGTTATAGTTTGTTATTTATTTATATAACTCTGAACCCAAACTGAAAGTGAAGACAACTCAGGTCAAACTCTTTCACCCTAAATAAACATTTCATTCACTTTACACTTAAATACCTAATTGTTTTCCTATAGTGTATGTTTCTCAGTAACAATGACACAATTAACTAAGCCAAAGACCAACTTCTCATCTTTGAGGATTAGGCAAGTCGGATAGGATTCTCCAGGTTTGCTTTAAAACTTTCCAGAAACCTGGTAGCCAGTTCATCATCTACCACTCGGCTGTCACTGGACATTGTGACCGTTATGAGCTGGTGTTGCTGCAGTTTGGCATTACCCTCTTCATCCTGAGTGAGCTTCAGCACAGGTCGGAATCTCCCAACAGCCAAAATGCAGGCCTGAGGAGGGTTGATCACTGCAGTAAATTCATCGATGCCAAACATCCCCAAATTGGAAATACTAGGGGAAAACAAAAAGCTCTGAAGATGGCATGTCCTTAATCAAAGAACCCTTTCCCTGAGTCATATATTTTTACTTTATTAAAAAACTGTGCCACAGAACCTTATTCCAAGTTACTCAAAGACCAAAGACAAAGAATACCATTTACAGTAGGATCAAAAAAACAAGTATCTACACACAAATACTGTATCTAATGTAAACATTTATTCAGCATTGAACTCGAAGTCCTAGGCAGAGGAATATGGCAAGGAAAAGAAATAGAAGGTATGAAGACTAGAAAAAAGAAATAAAACTTTATTATTCACAGATGAACTGATTGTGTACAAAGAAAATGTAAGCCTCTATAGATAAACTAGTAAGATTAATAAATGAATTTAGCGTAGTCACTAGATAATAAGTCAATATAAAAATTTATATCTATATACAAGTTGCTTTCATTAGAAAATAATACCACTTATAATAGTATACAAAATATCTAGGACTAAATCTAATGAAACATATATAAGACCTCCAAACAAAAAATTATAAAACACAACTGAAAGAAATCAAAGAACAAGTAAACGATGGTTTATACCACGCTCATTCACTGAAGACTCAACGCTATAAGGATGTCAATTCTCCTTAAACTTAAATTGATCAAACAATTCAATGCAATCCCAATAAAAATCTGAGCAAGATTAGTGTGTGTGTGTGTGTGTGTGTGTGTGTGTGTGTGTGTATGAAAAATGACAAGTTGATTCTAAAATTTATTAGGAAGTACAAAGCCAGGAAAGACAATCTTGATGGTGAACAAATTTGGAAGACTTTCATTATCATATATCAAAAGTGATAGTTTGCTGGTATTAAGCAAGGGAAGGACAAACAGGTCAATTGAAAAGGAGAGAGAATACAGAAAAGGACCAAACACACTTGGTTACCTTCTCAATGCTACAGAGAAGTAGTAATCTTTTCAATAATTGAGGCTTAGTCCACTAATTATCCACAAAGGGGAAAAAAAGAGAATCGTGACCTTTACTTCCATATCAAAGACAAAAATCTAATTTCAGATGAATTGCAACCTACATGTGAGAAGTTACAAAGCTTCTGAAGATAACACAGAAGAATAACTTCATGACTCTGGGATAGACAATAATTCCTAGCAGAAAACAAAGAGTACTAACTATAAAGAAAAATACCAATAAATAGGATTTTATTAAAATTCAGAACTTCTGTTCATTAAAAAACACCATCAAGAAAGTTTCAAAGGCAAGGTACAAAGTGGGAAAGGTATTTCAAATAATATATATCCTATAAAAGTCTGTGTATCAGGAAAGAGGAACTACTATAAAACATTTTTAAAAATAGACACAAGACTTCAACAGGTATTTTATCCGATGAGTTACCAGATACCCAAATGGCTGACAGATAAATGAAAACAGTATTCAACATCATTAATTTGCATTTCTCTGACCACAAAGAGTACCACTACACACACCAAGATTCATTAAAATTTAAAACCTAATAATATTAAGAGTTAACAAGAATATGAAGCAACGGGAATTCTTCATACACTGTTGATGGAAGAAAAAAATGGTAGAACCATTTTGGAAAACTATCTGGCAGGATCTACCAAAGCTATAAACCCAGCAATTCTACTTTCAGGTCTATACAACAAAAATATGTACATATAGTCACCATAAGACACTAACAAAAATGTTCACGAGCACCAAACTGTAAACAACACAAATGCCCAACAGTGAAATGGACACTAGCATATATACAGCATACTACAGAATACTATAACGCAGTAACAAATAAATGACTGTTTCACACAACAACATGCATGGTTCACCTCACAGACATTAATGTTGAGCGAAAGAAGTCAGACACTGAAAAATATGTATTTATGTAAAGATCAAAGTTGGCAAAACAAGAACTTCGGTGATAATTTTCAGAATCATGGTTACCCTCAAGGGGGTGAGAATTAGGAAGGGTAAAGGGAGGCTTATGGGATGCAGATAATGTTTATTATCTTGCTTTGGTTGGTTACACAGCTTCCTTCACTTTATAAAACATTGCAGCTACACTCTGTGTACTGTACTGTAAGTTATAAACAAAAATAGAGCTGATAATAACTCAAGAGTCTATGTGTTAATATTTTACCCCAAAGGACCTTAAAATAAATCACAAGTAGAAAAAAAATAGTTGTTGTAAATCTATTGTATGTCAGACCCTGAATGTCATTCTATGAACATCTAAATGGGTTAACTAGCTAACCCTAATGGCTTCCTACTAGCTTTGATTCATATCAAAGACTAACTGTCTGAACAACATTTTCACATATTCTCTTGTCTAAATAAAGTATGATATTTAGCTTAAATTTTTAAAGAAATCCTTCAGAAATGAAAACAGGTTAACAAGGACTTCATAAGTCTTATGTCTGATGCTACAAATAATTAAGTTTAAACTTTACCTAAAAGATCCTCCTTGGTATTCTTCAGGTAACAATTTTCCATCTCTAGCTTTCTTTGATAGAGCCTGAGAAAAATACAAACAGAGCATGACAACCAACACTACATTATATGGCTGATTTTGTCACTTAAAAATGTTTATAGGGTACACTCTCATCTTTGATATGCCTTGACCTGACTTTATAAGAGACTATATATACATACGTATGTATATATATATATATATATATATATTTTTTTAAAATTATATATATAAAATGTTCTCTAACACACTTAAAAAAATGAGTAAGTTAGAGCACAGATAATCCAAGAAGCTATACACATGTGAATCAGAACTCTAGAAAAATCATTTCCCTTTAAAAATTCTTCAAATATTGGAATTACCTTGTACACTATGCAGAATGTTTCAGTGGTTTTTATATGTACAGTGAAATTTTCCATTTTGCCTATAAAATTTTTTCTTGTAAGACAAGGTATTAGAAGAGCCTTTCTTGTTACTCTAGTAGCTTTTAAATAAATTATTCAACGGCAACAATCTCACAACCAACACATCGATTTTCATTTCAGTGTTTGCTTCTTTTTCACCCATAACATATATATAACTTCAAACAGTTGTTAAAAAAAACAGAGAATTTTATAGTTACTTTTCAGTATTATATGCATCTTCTGTATTGTTAGTCTTTGCAACTGATTTTTAAATGCCTGTTTAACATTCTAAATACTGCACCTGCCACAATTTAGTCATTTTCCTAGTGTTGTAATTTGGTTCATTTGTTTCTTTTGAATTCCTTCATATAAATTCTCAGAAATGGAATTACAAAGCCCTAGAAAATGAACTTTTTTTTTTGGTTCTTGATCCTATAGCTAAAACATTTCCTGTGAGCTAGTCTACCCTGCTACAAGGAATGTAAAAATGTAGTAATTTCATTACACCCTTGACAAAACTGATGTCTAGAAACTTAGAGGGAAAGACAGACAACACTCTGAGAGCTATATGAGGAAAAGTAGTTGAATTTCCCTCTACTTGCAATTAACCACACATCTTAATTTTTATTTTTCAATGCTTCAAAAGCAAGGGGACAGAGACTGAGTCTTTACATACGAAAAATTAATGAAGAATTACTTTATGAGGGGGACAATAGAGATAAGCTACTGTCATTGGGTAGGTGATATAAATCTGGGGTTTACTTAATATTCTATACTGTATAGCTAACAAAAGGTACAATTACAATCCCCACTGAAAACTACTTAATTTTGAACCATAGATGATTTAATTTTTGAAAAATAAAACATTCTTTAAAAATCAAAAAATCGATCTCAACATATCACTGTGACTTACTGCCAAATGAATCAATTACAGATTTATATTATTTGGATATAGTTACTTACAAAACTATTTAGATCCAGAATGAAAAAAATAAGAGATGAATTTAGACTTGTATAGTCCTTGGAATATTAGAAGTAGAGAGGACAATCTACAAATGCATTTCTCCTGCCTTAAGCAATATAATAACTTCACATGATCTGAACAAGCACATATCACATGAACTTTAAAACGCATTTCTCTAAGGGCAGAGGATCATAACACATCCTGATGAGTTACCAGGCTACAACAAATAAAAAACATATTCATTAAAAAAAAAATAGATGATAAGCACACGTAATAAATACACTTTAAGAAAATCTCTATAGACCCAAAACATCAGCAGGATATTCCTGTCAACGAATTCCTAAGAGTGTGGAATAAGAATAGATTCTGATGAGGATCATTGGTTTTGAAAGTAACTAATTCTCACTGGTATTTCCTGGGAGTGTGAACGTAAAAATCAAAGCTCATGTTTCCTGAACCATCCAGTTGACAAGACATAATACAAGCTGACTAGCAAATACTTCTAAAATATATCACATGCCTTACTAATTTATTCAACAAATGTACTGGGTACTAAGGAGCTAAACTTTGCCTCTGCCTCTTAAAACTGTTGAAGCTGGCCTACTGCCTGCGCTCCGCCTATTCAATGTGATGTTTTTGGTGAGAGCTGACGCTTCCATATTGGACCCCAGGAAAAAGAAAGCGTTTTCGCTTCTGGAATACCAAGTACTTCTAGTGGTCTCGATTGTAGAGAGGAAATGAATAAACTTTTAAGAATAAAATGCTGTGAAAAGTGAGGTCTGTCCATTACCACTTTGATAGAGATATAGTTTCAGCTTTAATCTTAAAATTTATCTAAAATACCATCTCTAGAGTTGCATTATAGACTCTGGGAAACAAAGCAGCCAACTTGAACACAGCTGGCCTTAACTTGTATGCATGTTATTTCTGAATTTTTAAATGTTAAATGTTCTTAAAATGGGTTGTACCTGGATAAAAGCTTAAAAGTCTACATACGTAATTGATAAGCACTTGGAAATACCAAAAATATACATTACGTGCATGCACACACACCTATCTCACAGCATGGCAGAGTATGCTAACCTACCTTCACAGAGTCAGCAATCTCTGGCAGACCCTTAGCAGCAGCATCTTTGATGACTGGTGTAATTAACCCTTTATCTGTGGCCACAGCCACTGAAATGTCAATAAAGGGCAGTTGCTTTGGGCTCTCTCCATCCCAGCTTACATTAACACTCGGCATTTGCTAGAAAGCAGAAGTAGAGAAAAATGTTGCTAAAGAAGTAGCTTTAGACCAAGGTTGTTATGGAAAAATAACTAACATTATTATGTAGTTTTGAAAGGGAATATAGCTAGACTGAAGGAAATAAATAAAACTTCGATTTGAAAAAAGTGGTTTGGACCTCTAAATATCTTTTATGTTTGGGAAGAATAATTAAACATACCATCCTTTTTGAAGCAAGCCTGAGGAAATTCTGATGATGTACACATGTTTTGATCTCTTTATATCATGGTTAAGAAAAGGGCTTCCTTTGTTAAACCTAATTGCTAGGAAGTATTTAACGTTTGTTAACCTTCCTGTCTCATATGATGACCGACATGATCTTGAGGAGAAGAGGGGAGGGCAGAGGGGTACTGACATCCAACCACATTACTTCTATGGCATGAGGAAGCCTGACTTTCTAGTGCAGCCCTGGGAAATATGAGCAGGCTCTTAATAAATGACTTCCCTATTTAAGAGAGATTTCCTAGGCTTCATAAACATATGCTATATACTATATATGAGCATGTATATATTTAATATACATACGACTACACTGAGGATGAAAAAAACCGGGAGATGACTAAATGCCTGGAAACAGTGTGTATCGATAATGTTGCCAGACATCACTGGAGAAAATGATGCTGAAAAACAGATATCAGAAACTAATTTCTCTTCTCAAAAATTCATTGCTTTCTGCAGAGTAAGACCCAAGCCTCCCAGCATGTCATTTAAGCATGGCAATCCACAATTTGATTCCATCCAATCTAATTTTACTCCTGACCACTCCCCTAAGATGAATTTCCACTTTACTCAGGCTTCTCATTCTTATGCTACAATCATTTCTATTTCACCACTGTTCAACTGCAATTTTCACTTCTTTCAAGGCTCAACTCTTTCATTCAACAATGCCACTGTGTCAAAATAATAAAGTCCCCATCTCCCAGAAGATTTTAAATTCTTCATGGACAATGAAGTAAAAGAAAAAAACAAAACAAAACAAACAAACCCTCACAAATGAAGAACGTCTGGCAAATAAATTTAATTAGAAAGTTATGTAACAAAAACCTCTAGGATAAAGCCTAAGTTGTATTCAAAGGAAAATTCATCTTAAACTTTCTTATTAATAAAAAATAATTATAATGAATTACACATTCAAGTTTTCTAACAAGATATTTCTAACCAAAATAAACCTAGGGAAAAGAAGGAGGGAACACATAATGAAACAATATAAAAGGAGTGATAAAGCAAATATGCAAGTGAGACAGAGTTCAGAATAAACCCAGGCATTGAGGACATTAAAATAATTATAAGAAACAAATTCAAATAACTCTAGGCTAATAAGTTTGGAAATCCAGGTGAGATGAATGATTTCCTGGGAATATGTAAATTTCTAAAACTGATTCAAGAAAAAGCTGAAAACCAAACAGCTTGATAATTATAGGGGGAAAAAATGGGAAAGCTGCCAAGGCCCCTTCCTCAAAATAGAACTAGGCTCTGATATTTTTACTGGTGAATTCTATAAAACTTCAAGGAATACAAATCTTTGTAATACTGAAACAAGCACAGAGAAAGGAAAGGGAAAAACACAACCAAATTCATTTTATGAAGCAAATGATTTAGAAAAAAGAAAAGTCTGAAAAAGCGAGCACACAATTTAAATTACAATTACTTATGGTTTCTGATACAAAATTATAAAATGAAATCTTAACAAATAGTTAATGGACCACTAGAGACTCACTTGAAGAAGGCAAGAATGATTCATAATTAGAAGATCGTTAATATAAATCAAAATATTATTTGGTCAAAAGAGAAAAAACATACGAACACTGAGATACCAAACGACTGAAAAGGCATGCCTTTAAAATTCTCTATAGTTGTACTCTCCAAGAACTAAAAATAAACTCCTTATAAAAATACTTTAAATACAGCACTTAGTAAGCAGTGATGCAGAAAATAGCGTAGTTATAGAAAGAATGCATGACAGCAAATGGTGCTGAGCAGGGATTCAGGAAGCCTGGGCTTTGGATTTACATCTCCAGTCGGACACCTCGCTGAACTGCAGGCTCTGACGTTCACCTGCCTTCCTGCCACCCCACTGGGACACTATGAGGTTTCCTGAAATTAATTTGTCCAAAACTGAAGTCTAAATTCCCTGCCTCAAACCTGCTCCTCTCCCAGTCTTAGCACAGGGGAAATTCCATTCCTCCCACTGCTTGGACCAAAACCCTTGTCCTTCTTTCTCTCACGTTCCACATCCAATCCACCAGCAAACCCTGGTGGTTCTGCCTTTGAAACGTAACCACTTCCACCCTTGCCTCTCCGCAAGCTGTGTTCCACACAACCGCCACAGCAGGCTCTCCTTTTTCTTTTTAAAGTTTTAAGTCAGATCATGTTAATCCTTCGCTCAAAACCCTACAAAGGCTTCCTTCTCATTTGTAATAAAATTCCTCCTCCTTCCCATGGTCACCAAGGCCTCGTGTACTTCGGGACCCCCTTAGCCCCTCTCCCTCTTCTTTTATGTTTAATCTCATCTCTTACCCTCCTACTCTCACTAATTCCACTCCAGGCACACTTCATCCCCAGCACCATGTCTCTGGGTGACACGATCCACTCCTCACAGCCTCTGTGTTTGCTGTTCCCTCTGCCTGGAGCATCTTCTACCACATCTCTAAATGGTTTTCTCCCTCTCTTTCCACAGGCCTTGTCTCAATTATCATCCTGCCAGAGAAGCCTTCCTTGGCTAACTTTTGAAAATAACACTTCTAGTTCTTCTGTTCCCTTAACCTGCTTTCTTTTTCTCCTCAGCACTTTCACTATCTGACATATATATTTGTTTGCCTCTCCCAACTAGAATATAAGCCTCATGAGAGCAGAAAATATGTAGGCTTTTGCTCACTACTATATCTCTAGTATTTAGCACATGCTAGGGGATCAATTAGTATTTGTGGAATAAATGGTCTTTATTCTGCTGTAATTAGTCGTAAGCCTTTGTGATTCTCAGTTTCTCCATCTGCAAAACTGAGTGAGATTAAATAACAGAATATTTTTAGCATTAAAATTGTAAAATTTTTGTCACTTAAAAATAAGAGTTCTATTTATTATATAAAATCCCAAGATGTGAGACTACTTTGGAAGCCAAAATTATTTGGGGTTTGCTGCTTACTTTAAGGGTAACAGCTGCTGCCTTGATGATAAAATCGTTTACTGATACTTTGATGTCATCTGAAAGAAAAACAAGTGTATTAAAATTAATGTTCATAATAAAACTTTTAAATTAACCATTATGATTTCAAACTTTTAAATTATGGACTGCACTGACAAACAACGATAAAAAATATTACAGGTTTTGTTCGCTTAGTCATGGTTCCTCTGAGTAGAAAAACTTGCATTATATGAGGTCCTGGATTAATATTAACCATGAATATAAAAGTTTTCTCCTGATCCTGATTTAAACTGCTCAGATAGCATACACAAGAACTTAAGACACATGACAACCATAATCAGAGAGAAAAGATCCAAGTCCCATGTCTCGAAAAAGACAAATGGTCTGTCCATGGCATATATAGTCAGGAAGTTTACAAGATGATTCATTTTTTTTCCACATCCTTTTCAAACGTCCGTATTCTGTGTATTCTTTATAATACATGGATTATATTAGAACAGTGGTAGCTGTAGTCCCTTTAAAGAAACAAATTTTAAATAGCGTTCAGAGTGGGGATGTTCAGAAATTCCTTTTTACTAACAAAGTGTACAACGAAAAAATTTAAGATCACTGCATTAAATAAGAGCTGCTTTTTAACTTAACAAAACAGGATATAGCAAATGCCAAAGATGAAGCAATGCTGGCGTGGGTCTTAATGCAATGAATAAAATGAGGTTCTCTGTCTAGTTTTACGGTGAATCCATTTAAATCAATTTCCTTCCAGTATAATGTTTTACGATAAAGCTGGGGTTCCCTCCCTTCCCAAAGAGCTGATCTTAATGAAAGCATTTGGTTTATACCTCTGCTTTTCCCAGTGAGTATGAAAGTGTTGAAAATGTAAACTACATTTGATTCTTTATTGCAACGGCTTCTATAAAAAGACTTTAAGATGGTATCTAGTCAGTTGATGGTATGTGGTAGGATACACAAATCCTGTTACTCTACTATGGTGGAATTTTACATGAATGATATCTCATTCCAAAGGCATGCTAAGATTTCAGAAAGGGATTAGATGTATTACCATAAACCTATATACTGTCAAACTGTCATGGTAACTGTCAGCTGCTCTTCTAATACACAGCTCTTACGATTCAGATTTCCAGAAACACAAAACATTTTTGTTTGTTTAAAACTCTTTTGGGAGCAGAAAAACAAACGGATTTCCAGTGCTTAGAGACTTAATGATACCCACATACAGAAAATTTGGTCTGCATAAATTCAAATATGCAGACAGAATATTTTATGAACACACTGTGCTTACCTCTCATGCCTCCCTCTGCCTCCTTCTCACTTTACCTACTATCCGTAGGTGTCCACAGTGAAGACTTCCCAAACCATTCACCAGCTGATGGTTTCCAAATCTACTGCCCAAGTCCATAGTCCTCACTTAAAATTCCCTGCCCTCATCATACTCCTACATTTGACCACTTTCTTCATCTTGAAACATGTTCTGTTTCTGACTTCTGTGTCACAGACTCTCCTGGTTTTATTCCACTCTCTGCTTACTTACTTTCAGTCCCTTTCTCTCAATGTTGACATCTCCCCAGGTGAGAACTTTCAGTTTGATACCATTTATATGATAATGATTCCTCCAAATTCTATCTTGAATCCTGGTGTATCTGGAGCTTCAGACTCATACACCCTCTTTCTCACATGACATTTTCTACTTACGTGTCTGATAGGCATCTCAAATCTAATATGGGCAAAGGAGATTTTTTTCAAGTTCCTTTATTTTAAAATAAAATTTAAAACATACAGAAAAGTTTTTTTTGCTTTTTTTTTTTTGTGGACATTTTCAAACATACAGAAAGACCATTGGTAACATTTATTAAGAAGAGAGTAGGAAATACATTGTGAGGGAATATCAAATATTCTCCTTTGCATACTGTTACAAAACAAAGTGCGGAACATACTTATAGAATGTTATATACTATAACCTTTAACGTGGGCCCTTTGAAGACTCATCAAAAAATCCCTAATTGAAAGGACATACCAAACCTGGTCCATGCAAAGATACTACACTAATCCATACCTCCAATGAAATAGTACTGTTTCCTGCCTCATGAGAGGAAGGAATCAGGAAAATTATTCCCACAATAACCTCTATATCATAACTAGCAAGTATGATTTGAAACCTGTAAGGGGAGCTTTCAGGGTTAACTTTTTGAACATTGATCACTCTGTCTAAAATAGCTTTCCATTTAGTTCCTTGGACTATTAAAATCTGTCAGGTTTGAAAGCCTGTACCTATACTGATTTTTCAGTTCTGCTTTCACTTAGGATGTAGAAAGCCACAAGAGAAAGTTGTGCCCATCCAAATAGGGTGGGAGGAAAAGTAACACAAACTACAAAATCATAACTTTCTTGAGCTTATTAGGGAGCTGAGGTTACATCTAAGCTTTACAATTATGTCTAACATTTATAATTAGAGTTCCAAGGAGAAAACACATGAAGCAGAAGATATAGTTAAAAATAACTGTATCTGGGAGTTTTCCAAAATTAATGAAAGACAACAAACCACAAATCCAAGAAGCTGAGAGAAACCCAGACAGGATAAATGCAATAGGGAAAAAACAAAAAATGTTAGGCATATAATAGTCAAGCTGCTATTGGAGAAAATCTCGAAGGCAACCAGAGAGAAAGAAAACATTATATACAGGGAAACACAGATTAAGAATGGCAGCAGATATTCTGCAAGTCAGAAGATAATGGAATGGTATCTTTAAGTAAAAATACTGGGGGAAAAAAACCTATTTACTCAAAATTCTATACCCAGCAAAAGTATCTTCCAAAAATGAAGAAGACACACCCATTAGAATGACTACTATCAAAATCACAGAAATAACAAGTGTTAGTGAGGATACAGAGCAACTGGGACCCTGATTTGCACTGATGATAAGAATGTAAAATGATGCAGCCACAACAGAAAACAGTATGTGAGTTCCTCAAAAAGTTAGAGTTAGAATTACCATACGATTCAGCAGTAACACTTCTGGGGATACAACCACAAGATCTGAAAGTAGAGACGCAAAGAGATATCTGTATATCCATGTTCACAGAAGCATATTCATAAAAATCAAAAGATGGAAGCAACCAACTGTCCATTGACAGACAAATGAATACATAGAATGTGGTATATACATAAAATGGAATATCATTCAGTCTTAAAATGGATGAAAATTCTAACATATGCTCATTGTGAATGAACCTTGAGAACAATATGCTAAGTGAAATAAGCCTGTCACAAAAGGACAAGTACTGTATGAGTCCACTCAAATGAGATACAGAGTGGTCAAATTCACACAGACAGAGAGTAAAATAGTGGCTGCTAGAGGCTGAGGGGAAAGGGGAACAGGGAGTTACTGTTTAACAGGTGTAGTCTTCAGTTTTACACAATGAAGAGTTTTGTGAACATGCATGGTGGCAATGGCTGCACAACAGTATGAATGTACTTAATACCACAGAACTGTATACATAAAAATGGTTAAGATGGTAAATTTTATGTTATGTATATTTCACCGGAATTCATAATTCAAGGGATGGAAAAAAATGAAGGAGAAATAGACTTTTCCAGACAAAAACTGAAAGAATTTTTTGCCAGCCAACCTGTACCACAAGAAACATTAAGAAAGTTCTTCAGGCAGAAGTGTGATAGCAGATTGCTAGCACTCTGGTTCTGTACAAAGAAATGAAGAATGACGAAACTGGTAAAAATACATACAAGTATAAAAAGACATTTTTTCCCCTCATTTTTAAAACTTTAAAATATAGTTGATTTGCTAAAGTAAAAAAAAATTATACATATATTCTGCTGACATCATATGTAGAAGTAGAGCATACGAATAACAGCATAAAGGATGAAGGAGGGAATACAGGTATACTGTAAGGTGCTTACATTATACATGAGGTGGTGCAATAAAAATATGAAGGTAGATGTGATAAAGAATTATACTGTAAACCCTAAAGGAACCACAAAAATAAACAAACATGAATAAATAAATAATGAGAGGAGAGAGAGTAAAAAGAAATAAAATGGAATCATAAATAATCCAAAATGAGATAAGAAACAGGAAGAATGATGGGACAAAAACAAAGGACAATAAACGGTACAAAAGAAAATTTTACAAAGGAAAAACAAAGAACAAATCATTAAATGTGAATAGTTTAAATCTTAATAAAAAGAAACCACAGGATTGGATTAAAAAAGTGAGAACCAACTACGTGCTGTCTGCAAGGAGCCATCTAAACACAGGCACACCCCGTTTCATCGTGCTCTGCTTCACTGCCCTTTGCAGATATTGTAATGGGGTTTTTTTGTTTTTGTTCTTTTTAACAAATTGAAGGTTTGTGGCAACGCTGCTTCAAGGAAGTCTACTGGTGCCATTTTCCCAACAGCATTTGCTCGCTTCATGTCTCTGTCATATTTTGGTGATTCTCTCAAAATTTCCAACTTTTTCATTATTACTATATTTGTTATGGTGACCTGAGATCAGTGATCTTTGATGTTACTATTGTAATTGTTTTGGGGTGCCACGAACCACACACATAGAAGGTGAACTTAATCGATAAATATTTGCGTGTGTTCTGACTGCTCCATTGACTGGCTGTTCCCCTGTCTCTCTCCCTTTCCTCAGGTCTCTTTATTCCCTGAGATTCACAATGTTGAAATTAGGCCAATTAATAACCATACAATGGCCTCTAAGTGTTCAAGTGAAAGGAAGAGTCACACATCTCTCACTTTAAATCAAGAGCAAAAAGTGATCAAGCTTCGTGAGGAAGGCATGTTGAAAGACAAGGTAGGCCGAAAGCTAGGCCTCTAGTGCTGAACAATTAGCCAAGTTGCAAATGAATGCAAAGGAAAAGTTCTTGAAGGAAATTAAAAGTGCTGCTCCAGAGAACACATAAATGATAACAAAGCAAAACAGCCTTACTGCTGATAGGAAGAAAGTCTGAGTAGTCTGGATAGAACATCAAACCAGCCACAACATTCCCTTAAGCCAAAGCCCGATCGAGAGCGAGGCCCTAACTCTTCAATTCTGTGAAGGCTGAGAGAGGTGAGGAAGCTGCAGAGGAAAGTTTGAAGCCAGCAGAGGTTGGTTCATGAGGTTTAAGGAAAGAGCCATCTCTATAACATAAAAGTGCAGGGTGAAGCAGTAAGTGCTGATAAAGAAGCTGTAGCAAGTTATCCAGAGGATCTAGCTAAGAACATTAAGGAAGATGGCTACATTAAACCACAGATTTTCAGTGTAGATGAAACAGCCTTCTATTGAAAGATGTCATCTAGGACTTCATAGCTAGAGAAAGTCAGTGCTAGCCTCAAAACTTCAAAGGATAGGCTGACTCTCCAGTTAGGCAGCTGGTGACTTTAAGTTGAAGCCAGGGCTCATTCACCATTCCGAAAATCCTAGGGCCCTTAAGAATTATGCTAAATCTACTCTGTCTGTGCTCTATATATAAATGGAACAAAAAAGCCTGTATGACAGCATACAGTTTACATACTGTTTACAAAACAGTTTACTGAATATTTTAAGCTCCCGGTGGAGACTTACTGCTCAGAAAAAAAGATTCATCTTAAAATATGATTGCTCGCTGACAATGCACCACGTCACCCAAGAGCTCTGACGGAGATGTACAACAAGATTAATGTTGTTTTCATGCCTGCTAACAATCCATTATGCAGCCCGCGGATCAAACATAATTTCGACTTTCAAGTCCTTGTAAGAAACATTTCATAAGGCTACAGCTGCCATATATAGTGACTCCTCTGATGGACTTGGGCAAAGTAGGTTGAAAAACTTTGGAAAGGATTCACTATTCTAGCTGCCATTAAGAACATTTGTAATTCATGGGAAGAGGTCAAAATATCAACATTAGCAGGAGTTTGGAAGTTGATTCCAACCCTCATGAATGACTTTGAGGGGTTCAAGACTTCCGTGGAGGAAATAACTGCAGATGTGGAAGAAACAGCAAGAAAACTAGAATTAGAAGTAGAACCTGAAGATATGACTGAATTGCTGCAATTTCATGATAAAACTTGAACAGATGAGGAGTTGCTTCTTACTGATAAGGAAGGAAAGTGGTTTCTTGAGATGGAATCTACTGGTGAAGATGCTGTGAAGACTGTAGAAATGACAACAAAGGATTCAGAATATTACATAAACTTAGTTGATAAGCAGCAGCAGGGTTTGAGAAGATTGACTCCGCTTTTGAAAGAAGCTCCACTGTGGACAAAATGCTATCAAACAGCATCGCTGCTAAATAGAGTCGTTTGTGAGAGGAGAGTCAGTCAGTCAATGTAGCAAACTTCACTGCTGTCTTATTCTTTTAAAAATGCCCACAGCCACCCCACCCTTCAGCAACTCCCACCCTGATCAGTCCACAGCACTCAACATCAAGGCAAGACCCTCCACCAGCTGAAGGCTCAGATGGTGGTTAGCATTTTTAGCAATAAAGTATTGTTAGACATAATGCTACTGCACACTTAACAGACTATAGTATAGTGTAACATTACTTTTATATGCACGGGAAAACCCCCCCCAAAAAAGTGTGACTTGCTTTATTGAAATATTTGCTTTATTGTGGTGGTCTGGAACTGAACTCATGATATCTGTGAGGCATAAAGATACACATACATTCAGAGTAAAAAGATCTAAAAAGACATAATATAAAAACACTAATCAGAGAAATCTGGAATGCCTATACAAATATCAGGCAAAGGAGGTTTGAGGATAAGGAATATTATACCAGGAACAGACAGGACATAACATGGTGGGTCTATTCACCAAGAAAACATAAAAATCCTAAATGTGTATATGCCTAATAACAGACCTTCAAAATACATGAAGCAAAAACTGATAAAAACTAAGAGGGGAAACAGAGAAATTTACAATTATAATTAAGGATTTTAACGCTTGTCTTTCAAGAATTAATAAAACAAAGAGACAGGAAATCAGTAAGTTTACAGAAGGTAAGAACAATAGTATCAACCAACTTCACCTAACCAACATTCATAAAACACTCCTCAAAAGTAGGACACACATTCTTTTCAAGGACACTAACCTTTGTGCGCCACTGCCTGTGCTTAGTTGTGCTGGCTCTGCACCTTTGTAAAAGAATATTGCCTATAGCCTGAAATATACATAATAGCCCTTTCTCAATGCTCTGCAGGCAGAGGCTTGAACTTTAAAGGTGTAACACTTTTCCATTCACATAGAGATAAAAAGTTGCAGAGCGGAAAGCAATCGCCTTGTTGGAGGTTTACAGGAACATTGTGACCAGACCCACCCTGGCACTGTAAGAACAAAGGATTCCAGCACCAAAAAGACTGCATCAACCAGTCACATCCCCTACCCTTTTAGTATAAAAGAAGCCTGAATTCTAACTCGGGTAAGATGGTTCTTTGGGACACAGTCTGCCATCTTCTTGGTCTGCTGACTTTCTGAATAAAGTGCTATTACTTGCCCTAACATCTCGTCTCTCAATTTATTGGCCTGTTGTGCAGTGAGCAGTATGAGCTTGGACCAGGTCACATTATGACTATAAAATAAATCTCAACAAACTTAAAAAGATTTAAATCATACAAAGTGTCTTCTCTAAACACAGTGGAGTTAAACTAGAAATCATAAAAGAAAGCTGAAAAGTCCCTAAATATTTGGAAATTAAACTTATACTTCTAAATAACTGATTAATCAAAAAAGAAATCACAAGGGAAATTCGAAAACATCTTGAACTGAGTAGGAAGGAAAATAAAACATGCCAAAATTTATGGGATACAGCTGAAGCACTGCTTAAAGGGAACTTAAAATTAAAAGTATCGTATGCTTACGTTAGAAATAAAGTTTATTATATTATATTGACATCGATTTTCACCTTAAGAAACTAGGGAAAAAAAGGGCAAATTAAACCCAAAGCAAATAGAAAAAATGAAATAATAAAGATGAGAGTAAAAATCAATAAAAACAAAATTATAGAAATAGAAAAAGTTAGTAAAATCAAATAACTGATTCTTTAAAGAGATCAATAAAATTGATCTCTAGCCAGACTGACCAAGAAAGTTAGAAGACAAATTACTAATATAAAAAATGGTAATCTCATCTCCTTTACAGTCATCCCTCCGTATCCAAGGGGAACTGGTTTCAGGACACCCCTTGGATACCAAAATCCGAGAATGTTCAAGTCCCTTGCATGAAATGGTGTAGTATTTGCATATAACCTACATGCATCCTCCCGTAAACTTTAAATCTCTAGAATACTAGTAATAGTTAATATGATGTAAATGCTATGTAAATAGTTACCAGTGCATGGCAAATTCAAGTTCTGCTTTTTGGAGCTTTCAGGAATTTTAAAAAAATATGGTTGGTTTAATTCACAGATGCAGAAGCTGTGAATATGAACGGCCAACTGTATACACAGATGTTAAAAGTATAATAAGGTAATATGATCAACTTAAGGCCAATAAATTTGATAACTTAGAAGACATAAACAAATTCCTTGAAAAACGCAAACTACCAAAGGTCATTCAGGAAAAAATAACTCTTAATCTATTTTAAAAGTTGAATTTGTAGTTAAAAATCCCCATAAAGAAAATGGCAGTCCTAAAAAGCTTCATTGGTAAATTCTACCGAACAATTAAAAAACAAGTAAAACCAATTCTACTCAAACTCTTCCAGAAAATAAAGGAGTAGGAAACATTTCCCAACTTATTCTGTGATAACAAACCCAGTAAAAAAAAAACTCAATAAAAGAAAAACGACAGACTAGTATTTCTCATGTGCACAGGTGTAAAGATTCTTAGCTAAATTTTAGAAAATGGGATCAAGCAATATATGAGAAACGTTTTAATGATTAAATGAATTTTAATCACACTCACTAATGAGGAATCACTCATGTAAACAAAGGTGATTCAACATTTGAAATCAACCAATGTAATTCATCATATTAACAAGGAAAGAAAAGATTACTTCAAAAGATACACAAAAAGTATTTGAAAAAACTTAACATCCATTCATGCTTAAAATTCTTGGCAAATTAGGAATACAAATTTCTTCAACATGAAGAAGGGAATCTTCCAAAAAAATCAACAACTAACATTAAAGACTGAATGCTTTCCCCCAAGATCAAGAACAAGGCAGGAATGTTTGCTTTTGTCACATACTGATCACTGTAACAGAGGTCCTAGACAGTGCAATAAGGCAAGAAAATGAAATAAAGCCATACAGATTGGAAAGAAAAAAATAAAACATCAGATCATTCTAAAAATTTATATGTCTCTCAGCAACCTTAGTTTTAATAGATTTGGAGAAGGAACATTACAAATTTAATAACATGAAAGTACATTTTGAAGAGGTACTAAAAGTTAAAATGTATAAAGAGTGATATCTAAGATATATTTACAACCTAAAACATTCTTAAATCAATTTTGGATTTTATACTTTCTAAAATGTTAAGAACTGCTTCTTCAGATATCGTACCAAAAAGTATGACGTATTTAATACTATGTAACCAATTTATTATAGGAAAAGAGAACCAATTCTCTTCTAGGGCTAAAATATGCCCAGATGATGAAACTGATGGAAAAAGCTACACAATGTGCATTTCATAAATAAAAGATCTCATAACAGTTAGTTTAGCATGTGTATTACCTTACATAAACTCAACTTTACTAACCTCTGACCAGATTTTGCCTAACTTTTAAAACAGCTCCAAGGTCACAGTCAGTAGTAGCATATGCATGAGGTACAGTACGTTTAGATTCAGTTAACCTCTTGGCAATAACTCTTCTAATGTTGCTAGTAGGGATTTCAGTGAACGTGCCCTGCAAAGAATAACATGTTCATTAAACCATAAATAGAATTGGAAAAAACAAGCAAACAAACTGTAACTGAAATCCAGTCTCAATGACCTAACTTATGAAAATAAAAATTAATACAGTAAAACTGTTATGAAAAATTCTTAGTATAAGAAGAAATATAAGAAATCTGAGTAATTTTAACTTTATAGTATATGACTGTAGAAAAAAAGCAGAAAAATTCATGTTTCAGTTGTGAATGGAACATCTATGTTACCATGTTTAAGATGATTAAAAAGAAATGTACCAAATCATGAATAAACCCCCCCATGGGTGTGCTTATTGAGATATCACCTACAAGCCTGTAAGTAGCTTCTGTTACAAACATCACTTCTTAATAAAACTCAAAGCAATCAATAAATCAACAACTACAGGCAATTTTTACTTATAAAAATGGCACACATGAGAAAAAGGTAATTCAAAATACTAGATAATCTGCCAAATTATTTCTATTTTGGTTTGTAATTAAAAAATCACATGAGCATCTTATTTCCAAGAAACTCATAAAGTATGAATGGGATAATAAAATCTTCCTGTAACTTTACTGTAGCTTTTCCATTCTGTTCCTTGAACCTCTTAACAAAAACATGATGGACCTTAAATTATGTCTAATTCCTTCTTTGTCCTTCACTCCATTCTGGGACTGGATTACAATCACTTAGGATAATACAAATCAGCCACAAGTACGGCTGACTTCTTTTTTTATAAATGCTTTCTGTGGGAATTAAACATCTTATGTTAGCAAAATACTTGATCAAATAAAATAAATGCTGTCTACATACTGTAAGAATTTTAAAGGTTTATCTTTCAAATTTGAATAACTTACTTTTTAAAGAAATAAGATTTTATTACTCATAAACTTTTGTGTATGTAGTCACGAATCATTAATGTACATTTAAAAAATCTGTTTCTCATGAAACTTGTACTGTTTTTAATTCTTTTAAAATACTATATTGGAATATATTTCTCCATCAGAAAAAGCAGTGTAGGTTTATTTATTTATTTTTTTCAGTGCCCATTCAGCTTTAAAAAACCTGATTATCTTGCATTTCTTCTGATGGGAAGCAAATGACATAAAAGGTACTAAGAAAGGGAGACAGAGAGGCAAAATGGAGTAATTTGAAAACAAAAAAGGGCTATTACATGTATCCAAGAAGTAAAGAATGATTAGCTATACAATCTCTATAGTTCTTCACAGTAAGACTATCAACTCCCTTAGTCAAAAAATAAAACGTATGCACAAAAGGGAGCTGGTATCAGCTACCAATTATTAGTATCACACCCAAGAAAAAAAAGACATGAAAAGTATCACGATTATAGAGCATATACATGGCACTGACATTGTGGAACTTGTGGCAAATTTAAATTGAATCATAATTCTATTTGGAAGTTATTAGCACTGTACAAACAAATCTGGTTTATGGAAATGTGCAAAACAAAACATTTAGAGAATTTTTGTCTTCATCACTTTGAGCTACTACTATAATGGACTGGTAAAAGAACTCATGAAACATAAGAGTAATGGTTCTTATTTTCTCTCTCGCTTAAATCTGAAAAATAAAAATCTACTCAGATGACATTACCGCTACATTAGGCTGTCCAGGAGTTGATACTGGAGGGATCATTGGCCGGGGATAAGATGGCCTGGCTGTGGCCTGTGGGGGTAAAGACGCTGTGGGAATGGTTGGCAGGGCTGGGGTGGGTCTGGATTCAGTGATCTTGCCCATCTGTTTCAACTGGACCAGTTTGAGAGCATCCCTGGAGATAAGAAGGGAGTTAGATAACCATGATTAGCAACCAGGAATATAAGAACGTTCAGAAAATGGAGGCCAGATGTGAAGGGAAAATAAAGAAATATACTGATGTCAAGGCTATAATGCAAAACGATTTGAGCTAGACAAGAAAATCTTGTCTCTTACCTGTTCTACTGATTCATATTTGTCCAATGGCTACAATATTTGCACATTTTAAAAATAAAACAACAAACAGATTTTATCAAAGTATTGGGTGTAGACAGTTATTTTTTAAAGGAAAATCAGTCTTTTTTTCTGGGGGCAGTGTCTTTTGGTAGATGAGCAATTCATAAATTAAGCTATACCCTCATTCATGGTATTTGTGAAATAATGTTCATATAGCATTCAGAAAGTGTCAAGCTTACTGTACCTATGACTTTCATTAGAATATTTACTAAAGCATTGTTTATCCTGGTGCAAATTAAGCTTGTTTATGGCCAGGAAATCATACCTCAAATGCTATCAGCACAATCTAATGTAATAAACCTAAGCCATAGCAGCATTTAGAATGAAAAATAACTAAACAAGTAACAGTCTTGCCTTTGTATTACTCTGCAAAACAAAGGTGTCTTTGTTTATTAAAAGGATATAATTAGACTACTATTCAAACTCTCAATCCATTCGAAGTTACAGTGGTATAAAGTCATGTACTTCCTTAAACAAAACAGCTTTTTCAAAAATTTTAATCTGACAATTCTAAAGTACTTAAAAATGTTTTAAATCTAAAAATTTTTTTAAATGAAAAAGGTTTTACATAGTCTAAAAACAACTTCAGGGTAACACAAATCTAAAGGCAAATTATATTTTTAAAATTTCTTAAACACAGTTAATGATTTGATATTATCACATACTAGGCAGAACTCTGAGATGGCCCCAATATTCCTGTTCCTGGTGTACATACCCCATATAATCTCTCTTGAGTGTGGGTGGGCCTGTGAATATGACAGATGTCACTGCCATGATTAGGTTACATTACATGACAAAGGTGATGGATTTTGTAGACATAATTAAGGTCCCAAAGCAGCTGACACTGAGTTAATCAAAAGGCAAACTATCCTGAAAGGGTCAGACATATCAGGTAAGTTCTTTAAAAGGAACAGGGAATTCCTAAAAGAAGAAATTTGAATGGCGATTCTCCTGCTTGCACTGGAGAAGCAAACAGGCATTTATGAACTGTCTATGGAGGTGACCTCGTGGCAAAGACCTGAAGGAGGCCTCCAGGAGGTGACAGCAATCCTTGGATGACAGCAAGCAAGAAAACAGGGCTCAGACTCCTACTACCCCAAGGAACTGAATTCTGCCAACAACCATGTGAACCTGGAAGAGGGCTCCAACCTTCAGATGAGACCCTAGCCCTGGCTGACACCTTGATTTCAGCCTTGTGAGACCATGAGCTGGAAACCCAGTCATGCTGGACCAGGACTTCTGACCCACAGCACTGTTAGATAATAAGTGGGTGTTGTTTTAAGCTACTAAGTTTGTTGCAATTTGTCATGCAGCAATAGAAAATGGACACAGGCAGGAATGCTCTAGCTTGGGGAGGCATCATGGGAGGGATCTCCCAATGTGTACTGGTACATTTTTAAGGAAGGAGAGTCTATGATTTTTATATCAGGTCCAGAAAGGGATACATGAACTTAACATTAAGTGCAAGTAGGTTACTTGTTTCAAAATTAAAGAGCTGACATTTAAGATAAGAGGTCAGACTGACAAAGAAATCTTAAAGGTTGTATCATCCTTGATCTTTAAGTACTGAAAGAGGGAATAGAAGTGGAAAAGTGAGACTCTTGTGTATGTACTGTGGTTATGTTAATGTAATCTTACACCAGCCATGTGAGGGAGGTATTATTACTCCCACTTTATAAATGAGTAAGTAGGTTCAAAGAGGTTAAATTCCATTTCTAAGTCAGTAGTTCTCAAGCACCTACTCTACTCTAGGTGTTGAAAATATAATGTTAAAACACTTCCCAACAAGGAGTGTTATTCTATAGGAGAGTCATACATTAAGCAAGTAAACAAATGAATAGATAGTGAAGAAAATAAAGCAGAGTAATGAGATTGAGAGTCATGAGTGAGAGGAGGTGTTACTTTAAAACAGGGCGGTCAGGGAAGGACTGAAGAAATACTATTTCTGTGGACGGACATGAAGGAGCAAGTCTCAAGAACAGCTGGGAAAAGCATGTTTCTAGGCAGAGAACAGCAAGTGTAAAGGCAGGGAAATTAGGGCTTCTAAGAACAGAAGGAAGCCCAGCGTAGAAGGAGGGCAGTGAACAAAGTGGAGGGGGTTTAAAGGTGAAGCTGAAGAGGTAGGCAGCTAGGAGCTGCCAGGGCTGGGACCAAACCTGGGTATGGCCAACTCCAAAGCCTGTGTATTTCCTACTACTTTTCTAATACCTGTGCAGAGTATGCCAATTAAACTAGGCAGAGTCGGAACAATTTTTTCTCAGAAGAAAAGGCTAGAATAGAAAGAATTAAATGGGCATATCTCAGATTAACAGCAACTCTGTGATTGAATGAAGAATAGTTATCTACCCAGTCTGAAGTAGCTAAAAGTAGGACCTCCAGACAAAGGCCCTTCACCTACCACACAAAAAGTAACAGCAACATAACTAGAGGCAAGCCTGGTTCTCCAAGGGTGAGGCACAAACCTGAAGGTAACGGCAGAAAGACTGAGTGTCCTGGGGAATGAGCTTATGTGCTCTTAAGGCTTTTTAACAGCAAGCTTACTCCTATTTGGAAGTTAATTTTAAATTTACTTATGATATTTATAACCCAAAGCACCATTTTTCCAGTTAATTGTTATAACATTTACATGTGAAGTAAATGACTGCCCTACAATTCCTGGGGATTTATGTCATGAGTCAAAACCTTGGCCACATAGATAAAAGTGTGAGCATTGATATAAGATAAGGCCTTTTGTTTTAGAAAAATGCCTTTAACAAAAGATATTTCGCGTTTAAGAGCTGTTACAAGCCACAGTCTAACATTACTAGTCCCCTTTCATCATATAAGGTAACTAAATACACCTCTCTAACAAAATCTATTATTAATCTTGGTTTTAAAGTTTAGCATCAGAATGGCATATACAAAACACATTGATTTCTTTATACAGGGATCACTACTGTACCCGCAGTAATCGGTTAAAAACAAACAAACCAACAAACAACAACAGAAAACAATGAACATTTGAGGAGACTAAAAAAATCTAAAATAATGCCTGAATACATTCTACTTTAAAAAAGGTTGGTCACACTAAATAGACATATTCTTATTTCACTATCAGCATTACTATTACTTACTATTTTTATCAAGAAAAGGCAGTTTAGGTTCATCCCTAAAAGTAAGTAGGAGTCATCAATCATAAACAAGCAGAAAAGCAATTCTGGCCATGGGCTCACAGTAAACTTTTATTGCTGATTTTACACTTATAAACCTCATAAAGTATGAATGTTAATTATTGTTTAATAACAGCCAATAATTTAGTTTCTGTAATGCAGAGAAAGATTTTTAATGATTTCTGTCCATTAAGTAATTAATCAGTCTAAGCTTGAAGAATCAGGTAGATATTAAAAGCTATAAAAATTAGAGAAAAATTGATACACCATTCACTTCTGCTTTGGGCATTCACTTAAGGCAGAACCTTCTCTACCAGATCCCTTAAGTCATTTGGGTGTGCTACGAATTAGTTTTAAAAAGAAGTATCACTGAAAACATACTAGACATGACTGTCATGCCTACTATATTTGTGATGCTGTGATACGAACACAAACATTAGCTACAAGTATGACTTAAGACGTAGATATGCCAAAGAAGTTAGGCTATAGGCCAAGAACCTCCAACAGCGTCCCTGGCACTTGTTTTCCTAAAACAGTTACATGTACAGGCAAAGCACAGTCTACATGCTTTTGCACAACATATACTCTGAGCAATATGCTTGCTTTCATGCAACATTAAAATAGCAACCATGACACTTATGGTTTTCTTCATAAATACAATGGGTCAGAGACACCTCCTCAGCTCTTGCAACTGACTTTTCTCTTCTACTTGCACTTTTAGTTGACAAGGTAAGAAGGAAGGATGTCTCTCATTATTTCAAGAATGTGTGCTAAGGTATTTGGGGCACAGCTTATGCTGAAGGCTGCAATTTGTCAGTCTTACCAGAAGATGACATTTCTGTAGATGACATGAGGACAAATTTTTTTTTCCAAAGCTCACCTCAGTGTTTAACTTAAAACAAGGTATCTTTAGTAGTATACAGTAAATATTCTCAATAATGCATGCTTTAAGGATCCATTTTCCTCATGAAATCTTTTGTAATATGTCATATTTTAAAGACCGAAGGGTGACCCTCTTATAGTAGGGAGTTAAAGGGCAGGGAAAGGACTGGGTAATAGGCAGACAAAGATAGCAAAGATATCAAAATCATAACTCTGTAATAGTGCTTCCTTAGGGTATCCAACAAGATAACACCATTCTGTCCTCCTTAGGAGATGTCAGACTACTATGATAACTTTCAACTTGGGTTTAAAAAAGATACTTGTTCATCGTATATGTATTAAGCACATACGGAAAGAGAAGGGAAAGAAAAAACTCTACTTCTTTACCCCACTGCCGTCACACCACTGATTTGCCCTCTAAACGGTCACTAATCACCAACTTCAAGAGCCTTTTCTCAGAGCCCTTCCTCCTTGACTTATATCCATCTCCTAGATATCCTCCAACACAGAAATTTTTGCCTTCTAAAATGTTTACCTACTGATGATCTCAACTGTAACTATCACTTTATTATCTATCAAACCTACCTCTCTAGTACCAAACTATCTCCCAAGATGCATCTTCACCTCACTGACTCTAATATCTGGAATCTGGTTTGTCAGCACTGACAATAAGCTTCAAACCAAACACATTAGTTATTCCACCAAGACAAATACTTCTGCAAATCCCTTGTTTCTATTTATGGGGCCAAAATGTCATCACCTGGAACAGAATCCCAAGTTCTTCCCTTGACTCATTGCTATCCTGGTCTGTGCTCTACATTCTATCCTTTACAGGCTTCTGGATTTTCTCCTTATAATGCTGTATCCATCAGTGATCTCTCTTTTAGGTTCCTACCCACATTTGAGTATTCATTCTCTCTTAGCTAGACTACTTTATGAGCCTGTTAATTTATCTCCTTACCTCAAGTCTTTTTCTGCTCCAATTTATCTTTCACAAATTTGCAAAATTGATCTTTCTAAGTTACATCTATGATTATTTTACATTTCACCAAATCTTCAACAATTAATGAATTAAATATAGACCCTCTATCTTATCCCTCAGATATATATGGATAAGTCTACCATGTTATAAAGAAAGTTGTTTTCTCCCATTTTTACAGACAGAGACTTTTTCATAAGGTATGGACTGGTAGAAGATTAACAAAATTAAGATACAAGTAGTATATACTAAATAAGGATTAATGTGGGGAAAAAACTAGGCTTAACTACCTATCAGGATTCTTTATTTTAATTTTTTATGGCTAAGTGAAACTTTTAAGTCTTTTAATTAAAAATCCACAGTCCAGGATGTTGCCTTTCAGCCAGGGGTCAGAACAGCTGATTTCCAACTCATGTGAGTATGTTGGCATAAACTTCACACTATATGCTTAAGAAAACCACACACATCTGTCTGATTAACAAATCAGTAAGGCTGAAGTACAGATAAATGAGGATATCTAAGAATTAAAGTGTATTGCTTTCATTAAAAGAAATATCCAACAATAAACCAATGCTTTAATGAAGAGTAAAATAATCCAATGAAAAGAAAGAAAAGTCACCTGGTCTGCCACTTAATAATTTCATAACTTTGCTCTACCTCACCTTGTAAAAATTTCTGCCCAATACTACTGATCACTTTTATCAACAGTAGATAAACAGGGAATAAGCATATTGCTTTAAAAGATTAACTCAATATGAAAATCTAATATTACTCTAGTAGAAATGTGGCAGACACCACTATAGCAATTTCACATTAGCTCATATGCCTATTTGACTAACCTCTGTCTTCCTCACCAGACTAATTTTCAATAGAGCAGGGGTCATCTGTTTTAACATATTCTTGAAAGACACAAAAGTTAAACAAATAGAAACACATAGTGTTCTTGAACAGGAAGACTCAACATCATAAAGATTTCACTTCTCCCAAAGTTAATTTAAAATGTGCTACAATCCCAATAAAAAGAACATAGTCTTCCTGCCCAACCCCACCAGTAGGGCTAGACAAATTGTTTAAAATTCATTTGGAAGAATAGTAAAATAAAAATAAACCAAGAAAACTGGTTTACTGAAAAAGAAGAGAAAGGATAGCTCTATCAGATTTTAAAGCTTACTATAAAATATTTCTAATTAGGAGTGTGGTCCTAAAAAAGTGAGGTACTAATTCACGGACAGACTGAGAAACAGAATAGAAAAGAAAATCCAAAATGAGACCCAATTGCCTATGGAAATTGCTTTGATCGTACATGTGAGCAAAATCCAAATGGGTTAAGAATGAATTTTTTTCTTAAACTATACTTCAGAAATTTAAATGTGATTGCATGATTATTTCATACAAACTTAAAAACAATATAAAGATTCACCATTTTGCACTCTAATTTTCTCTATTTATCATCATTTCTAAGGTTCTGGCTTAGTTATCAAATTAGAACTATTTTTCAGTAACGCTGCAATTATTCAAAAAACAACCCTTGCATAAAATACATTTTATGCTGACAAAAGCAATTAAAAGTACAAGAGAACAGTGTATTTCCTTTTAAATCTTAACACTAAATTAGCCCTTCTTTAAATACTTTCAGAAGAAGATGATCATGATAAATAATGGAACTGGTTATTACAAAAAGCACACACATACTCTTTAGTGAATATCCCCCGAGGGCCAGTGGCTGTGCCCTGGTTAGCATCCAGTGCGTGTTTTTCCAGAATATTGCGGGCAGCTGGACTTAAACGGAACCTAAAGAAAACATGAAATTTAATGGAACCAATGAACACTTATATTTGATTCAAATATATCTAAATGTCCACAGTTTTGCTGAGAATTAGAAAAATTAAAACATAATAAAGCTAAAATGACTCCCATAGATAGTGACAGTCAAATAAATTAATCTGTACTAACCTGGTTTATTTTACTATGAAAACATTTTCACACAAATTTAACTAGTTATTATTTCAAAACACTTTTAATAAGAATAAATATTCATAGGGAGAAAGCTTCTATTTTGACTAATCACTTTTCACATGGCTCCTCACCACATAACATACATCAATAAGAAACTATGTTGCTCCTTCATGGTTTTTTTTTATTATAGTAAAATGTATGTAAAATTTACCATTTTAAGGTGTTACAATTGAGTGGGATTAAGTACAATTACAATGTTGTACAACCATCACCACCACCCATCTCCAGAACTTTATCATTCTCCCAAAATGAAGCTCTGTACCAGTTAAACAGTAACTCCCCATCCCTCCCAGCCCCTGGCAACCACCATTCTACTCTCTATCCTTACTAATTTGACTACTCTAGGTAACTCATATAAATGAAATCATTCATCATTTGTCCTTTTGTGATTGGTTTATTTTACCTAGCATATCTTCAAGGTTCGTCCATGTTACAGTATGTGTCAGCATTTCCTTCCTTTTTAAGACTAACATTCCATTGTATATATATAGCACATTTTAGACATACGGGATGTTTCCATCTTTTGGCAATTGTGAATGCTGCTGCTATGAGCATGGGTATATAAATATCTCTTCAAGACCCTGCTTTTAATTCTTTTGAGTATATCCAGAAAAGGAAGTATGGATAGGAAGGAAGCTGGATAATATGGTAATTCTATTTTTAAAAGGAAGCTGGATAATATGGTAATTCTATTTTTAATATTTTGAGGAACTGCAATTCTGTTTTCCAGAGTGACTGCACCATTTTACATTCCCACCAACAGTGCACAGAAATACTAATTTCTCTATATCCTCAGCAACACTTGTTATTTTCTGTTTTGGGTTTTTTTTTTTTCTTGTTTTTAGATAACAGCCACTTTAATTAGTGCAAAGTGATATCTCATTGTGGTTTTGATTTGCAGTTCCCTAACATCTTTTTATGTGTTTACTGACCATATGTACATCTTCTTTGGAAGAAATGCACACTTGAGTCCTCTGCCCACTTAAATTGGGTTGTTTTGTTGTTGTTGTTGAATTACATCTTAACATATTTTTTCAAGTCCTTAGTATTTACATGCAAGCATTTTTACTTCATATATAAAGAAGAGAGGCAAACACAATTATGTTGATTCTATAGACAAGGAAACTGAGACACACACCAATAGGTCACATGAATAAGTGTCTACTCTTCAAATAAGACCTTTAAGCCTAATAGCAAACACAAATAACTACACAGTCATATTTTTAAAAATGAGTAAAACGGGCTAGATCCAGAAGTTTATAACTCCGAAAAGGAGAGAAACAAATGTGGCATTTTCTGCATTTCTGGGAAACAGCTCTAGTTGATATGGGCTCAATGGTACCAAATCTTCAGATTTTTCAAGAGAAACTGAAATTTTAGATTTTTTTTTTTTTTTTTTGCGGTACGCGGGCCTCTCACTGTTGTGGCCTCTCCCATTGCGGAGCACAGGCTCCGGATGCGCAGGCTCAGCGGCCACGGCTCACGGGCCCAGCCGCTCCGCGGCATGTGGGATCTTCCCAGACCAGGGCACGAACCCGTGTCCCCTGCATCGGCAGGAGGACTCTCAACCACTGCGTCACCAGGGAAGCCCTGAAATTTTAGGTTTTAATGTAAGATTAGCTAGTAACAAACCAACTGAAAAAAATTTTTTAAATCACTACATGGGCCAACACTCTGCAGGTTCACAGGTCAGCTGTTTTTAAACTACACCATGGGGTTTCAGACCCATGTAAACTTCTAACGCTGGATATTAACAAAATCACAAAGTATACTACCTTTGCAAAAGGGAAAAGAGCATTAAGTACCAAGCATCCATGAGCCTACCTTGTGATTTTCATGGAAAATAAAGAGGAGTCAAGGCAATGGAGTCAGAAATACTGTGTATGATAACGGAAAGTTAAAACTCAGTACTTCAAACACACTGGCAACTTCTTCTAACGAGAACTGACAATGGTAAACGACTGGAAAAAAATATAAAAATGAAAGCGTCTGCATTTTTATTTACACTCAAAAGCATTCTTAATAGGACCATTTTTCTAAAAAGAACTTTTTTTTACAAAAAAAAAGGAATTTCATATAATTATAGAGAATATTAAAATAAATAAATAAAACATAATTTTCAGAGTCCATCGATTAAAGTTATGGAAAGCTAAAGTGAAACGATGTTTACTAAGTATCTGTGTTGTTACAGAACAACTGGACAAAATCGAGCTCTAATACATGTCAGAAACTCAAATGCAGGGTAGTTAGAAAAGGAAGGCATGTTAAAATGCTAATTTCATTTTATATCAGCTATACATTTGAAACTGTAATTCACATTACAGTAATTAGGATTCCACGAATGAGAACACAATATGAAGTTTGGTACACTGAATTCCATTCTGGAATCCTAAAACCTAACTCAAGCTCAGTGGGGACACAGGCTGTTTGTCTTTTTCTCCACAAGGTGTACAGGGCCTTCACAGTACCTGGAATATAGTAGGTATTCAATACTATTTGTCTGTGGAATAAACAATGATGGTAAAATAATCATTCCTAGACCTCAGTTTCCTAAGAGAAAAAAAGGGAAGAGCAGCAACTTCCTACTTAATGTACAAAGGAGTTTTAAAAAGGATAATGATTAAAATACTCAAAAGTTGCTGTAACTTTTTTTTTTTTTTTAAATAACATCATTCAAATAAACATACTCACTGTAGTTTTCCCGGCGTGTGTTCCTTTTTGACAGGGGTAGAAATCTGTGGTTCTGGTGAAGGGCAAGGCACTGATGGTTTTGAAGCTGGTGACGAAGGACCTATATCTTTGGGAATTTCAACATGTTTCCAATCTTCTCCTTCTTCAACTAGCAAACCAATTAGTGAACCTAGCCGTATATTTTTAGATCCTTCTGCAACCTATATTTTAAAAAGAAAATAATTGCAGAGATGGAAAGACTCATGACTTCATGAAGTAGTTTATTCCTTGGATAATTCTGTACCAGTTAGAAATCTCTCTTAACGTGAGCTAAAATCTACACCTGAGCTAGCCTGCCTCCGCCTTTCATGTGCCTTGCCTACCTTCCCGTACTTACCCCTTTCTTCACTACTCTCCTCCTTCCAGTTACTGATTCTACCTCCTGAAAAAAAAAAAAAAAAAAAACCAAAAATCTAGAATCTCTTCTCTTTCCGACAGGCTTCAAATATATAAGAGCTACCATTACCATCTTCCTCTTGATGTCATTCAGTACAAATCCAAAACAGGAGTTGTAGTAACATATCTTAACTATTGGTCTTTCCCAGACAGTTCCCACAATGGCTTAGAGAATTCCAAGATTTCATAAGGGATTAATTCCTTCAAATAAGTCATATTTATGAAAATTAATTTAAAGTAAGATCTTTTCAGTAAACTTAGTCTCTGGAAAAAAGGACGTCCCATTGTATAGACAGAATTGGTTAACTACTGTGGTTAATAATGTTAAATATAGTTTCCACATTTCTCTATATTTAATTTCTTCCCTGTATGTATATTTGCAAGACCTAAGAAATAAAATAAAAACTTCATGAATTTTCTGTAAGTACATAAGAAACATGGTGGTGTCTCAGCTGACCACTTTTTCATAGATATTGCCAACTAAAAACATAAATAAGATCGAAGATGATTTTTTTAAACTCAAATATATTTTAAGCATTTTGGCAGCATTAATTTATAAAGGAAGAGTTGATTCTTATTTACTTATTAAAAGAAGTCCCTAGAGAACCTTCAGATGATAATATAAGTTCAGTACTGGAAGAAAATGTCATTCCTTCAAAGTTTTCTATTGTTCCCTTTCAATTACTTTAAATAAGGTTCATTAGAGATGTAATCTAATGAATAATAGAATGACAGACTGCAGGACAGTCACTAGTATAGTAATTGTAAGTAAAAGCATAACTCTCAGAATGGGCTTGACATTTTCTAAGTAACAGTAATTTTCATGGTTATTAATATGTGCACTATTAAAATAATAAGGCGTAAATTCTGAGAGTTAGGAAGCTTTCTAAGTTTACTAACTACTGATGAAGAACAGTAAATATATAAAATAAATGGGTATGTAAAACTAAATAAGGATGTTTAATGAATTGTGGCTGAGGAAAGAAAAATGCTAAACAACCCAAGAACAATTTGTTTAGTTGTTCATCACATACTAAAAAGTTTCACTTCTGTGGACCGCTCATTTTTCTTTACTATGTCAAAAAGATGAGTTAAGATTACTAATGGGTTAATACTTTTTCTTCTTCTGAAAATGTCTATTTACCTGCTTATGAACTGCTAACTCAAAATCACAAAGTAAAATGATCAATTTTCTTAAAAAATTGATAGAAGAAAGCATTAAGTGATATGAAGTACACTTGATGTTAATTCCTATCAAAACTGAACCAGAAATAGGATCAATATCCAAGTTCAAAGAACCTCACTCAAATAAAAAGCATTCTTTAAAAAAAGGAAAGTTTTATTTTAAAAATATCAATAGGTTTCTAAAACCTGAATCAGATACTATGTAGAATCAGAAACTGAATCTGAAACCTCACCTTGTTTCATTTACTACAATAAATCATATAAATGATTCCGTATATACCCTACTTATTGACACCTTCACAAGTGGGCAATAATGAGCATTTAGTATCATTTCCATTTTTACCATATCTAAATATCAAGTAAATTTTATTTTTAACTACTCATATTTTTCCATTAAAAAATGACACGACGAAACATGAAAACCAAATACCACGAACAATGATATACTACCACACAACTTGAACATATTAATAGAAGTTATAAGAAAATAATGCCTATTATAATTCCATTTAAAGTCATTAAAATCACTATACAAATTTAAAATCACTTCTCTTTTTCTATTCCCTTAGTGCAATAAGAGATCTTTTAGAGGCGTGCTAGTTTCCTGTAGATATCTGCTTATGTTGTGGTCAGCAAATATTTAAAATTTGTGTAGACTCAGTAACAGAAGAATATGCTCTTTTCAAAACTGTGCTGAGAAACCAAATGAGCCTTTGTTACTGCTCCCTCTAAGTTAGCACTGCGGATGCGCTCTGCTCCACTACAACATCTGGAGCTTTGTGACACCTCAGAGGCCCAGGTCTTTTCCCAGGCATTTGACTTACTTGATCAAAATTCTCCCTTACTCCTGTGTCACTGATTTAATATTAAATGCAAGATTTTTACACTTAGTTCTGCTAAAACAGCCCATTAATGCTCAAATATTCGATCTGGAGTCTGTCATTTAAACTATTAGCCTTCCCTCGCAGTTTTCTATAGGCTCCCTGGGCTTCAATGCTGGCTCTGCTACTTACTAGTTATGTGACCTTGGTGAGGTTTCTTTATCTCACCATGCCTGTTTCTTCATCTGTAAAATGGAAATAATAATAGTAACTACTTCACAGAGTTATCATAAGAAATAAATGAGTTATATACAAGACACTCAGAATAGTACCAGACATCTAGTGAGTACCACATAAATTGGAAAGATGCTATTATTATGATTGCGGTGGTGTTTTCCTCCAAGTTATTTTTAAAACAAAAATATACTCAACATGGATCAAGACTGAACTACAGAGGACTGTCCCCATTGGGAAGGGCTGGAAATTCATATCGAAAGGCCCAGCATGAGGCTGGGTAAACAGCGACATGTGAGACATTGAGACAAACTATTTCTGTGACAAACTATTTCTCAATATACATATACCTATAGAGTCTGAATTCTATCCCTAGGTCCAGACCCCTGGTATGAGTCCTCTTTACCAGAGACATCCCCCAAAGCTGAAATGTATTATCTGCAAATGTGCTAAATACAGCCCCCTTAATAAGCTCCAGTGTACCCAAGGATATGAGATGCTAAAGACACAAAATATCTACAGCAGTATTTCACAACAGAGAAATTGTTTGAGAGGGTTCATTCCATTAAAGGTGCTGGTAAATACTGTCTGCTTTGATTCTGGCATTAAAAAATAATCAGTAAGTTAAGAAATTATTTAAATATTTTTCTTCTTTAAAACAGAACAGTTTGAGAGCTGCTAAGTGAGTACTGAAGGAACATGCACAATGGTTAGTGGAGATAAGCTGAGTCACATGACTGGCTTAGTTGGTTTGCAAACAGTACAGATTTTCCATCATAGTTTGAACCATTATACAGTTTTAACTTGTTTTTATTCTTTAATATATATATTTAACTTATATACACTATGAACTTTGGTTTAAAAGGAAGACACATAGAAACAATGAAGCAGAAAACAAATCAATGACAAGCTAAAATGCAGAGGGGAGGAGAGACATCCACTAAGTCCTTGAATACCAGTTTGCCTGGTACTCAAGTGCCGGGCACTGTTCTCGCACAGTATTAACTCATTTAATTCTCTTAAAAACCTTATGAAGTGCTATTATTATTCCCATTTACATATAAGGAAACTGAGGCAGAGAAAGGTTAAATAACTTGCTCAAGGTCACAGGGCTAGTTAGCAAGGAGTCAATGCAGTGTGACACTAGAGACAACATTCAATATGATCAGTACCCAATCTGTAAATTATATTCGCTCAATCAAAACGATCACACAGCACCTCAAGACACTGCTACTATTTTTACAAAGAAGCTTAGAAAGGAAGAGTAGATTATAAATGATTTAGCTTTTAATTCATGGGGAACATAGACTCATTTGCTACTTCAATGTCATTTACCCATTTCAGTATTAAAAAAATTAGAACTGAGAGTATCTCCCAATTAGTAGAATTTGCTCTGAGCTTTGAGAGGGTATTTTCTCAGTTAAAAATATTACAGTCTACAGAGTAGAATCAACTGAAGGTCTTACAATTTCAAATTTCAACCATTAACTTTCAAACTACAAAATGCAATAATGCTGAAGGAGACTGCAGGCAATTTAATAAAAAATAATGGAGGGGAGGAGGGAATCTAACAAAAAAATAAAACCTTATTGAAAAAATCCATTCTTTCGAAAACATCAGTGACACAGTACTGGCGTGAGAAACAATCAAGAAATGGATTGAATTTGACGAACAATACCAAAAATAATTATGATCTGTTGTTTTTGTAATATTCAGATGATCAATAGTTTTTTAAAAATCTGTTTTAATATCCATGGCTGGTAGGTTTTAGAAAGAATTCTGTTTTTGAAAATTGTTTTGAAGAGTAACGGCCTACCAATAAAATAAAACTCTATCAATGAATGCATTGCCAGTCAATAAACTAAAATTTTCTAAAATTATGTAAGTTTAAATAGTTTTTTAATTATATAAGTTTAAATAATCCTAACATCCTACGCCCTCCTCACCCTCAAAAGTATCCTGACTTGTATGACAAATTATATAGTAACCCTAAATACATTTGAAGCCAAACTACACAATCTCTAATAAACTCTCCAAAAATGTCATCCTAATATTCTATTATATTACCATGTAAAACACCTGCTATCCAATTTGCTGAATAAATTTAAGACTAAACTTAGGAACTGATATATGTGTAATAATGTAAGGTTTTTGCATGACAACTTACTAGTGATTAAATGAGAATTTAACAACTCTCCAATTAACTTAATTGGAAATAAATCATAAAATTACACTGATACCAATTATTCTTTATTAATATTATTAAGAGCTTCTAAGCTTTTTTTCTGGCTCTAATTGAAATGTAATAATATTATTTTACATTTAAAATGGAATTCAGAGGTAAAAATTATGAGTACAAAGAAAAGAATAAGATTGGGAGGAGAAGGAGAGTATAAAAACCTCTCACAGACTATGGAAATAAATCCCTATGAATAGCAAAATAGGTTATAATTCCTAATCTTTCAAAATGTGGGCAAACTAAAAACTAGAGTTTTATATCATCACTTGCCTTTTAACAAGCTCAATTATCCAACTCCTTGATGCTGAAAGTAAAAATCTCTTATACGTATCCCTTTAAAAATCATTTATTATGTGTGCTAAGATATGAGGATTATTTCACATTGAAAGACAAAGTTGTAACTTGCTAGTGGGGTGGTTGAGAATGGAGTGGGGTGAAAGGCTAAAAAAAAAAGACAAAAACAAAACACTATCAGTAAAACCACCGTCATTTTTTTCTCCATTTTTTCCCCATAAAATTGCACACATTGTGACATGAATATACTCCTATTCCTATTATCCAAAATGCATGTGGAATAATAATAAAGCACAAAGCCCTAAACTACATACAGTCTTTGGCAAGGAAATAGCTATCTGTGCCGCTAAAGCTGCTGTCAATCACACCCCCCACACCGCTTCAGAGCTCTGGGGCCAGATGAACAGTCACTACTGACCTATGACATCATTAGTAATCTGAAATGCATTACTAAGTACCTGAGTGGAAAATGCTGTCAATTCTGGAAAACTTTCACAGCCAAACAATCCAGAACTAGGGCCAAAAACACAGCTTGCCAAAAGCACACACAATAAAATGTAGTTGCGTTTATTACATATGGTAATTCAAACAACCTTTTTCCATTTCAAAATGCTGCATAAATTAGTGAAAGAAACTACTTTTGGTATGAACATTTATTTTTTCCTAGTTATAAAGGTACAGAAATTTTAGCCTTCCACTCACATTTCCTCCTAGGAAGTATGTTCAACAATGTGTTTTAACATGGCTATTAATATTGAAGATGACAAGGAAGTTTGACAAATTAGAATGTAAAAAATAAAATATCAAGTATGACATCCCAAGGTATGGTCTTTGAATAGAATGTATGAAGGAAGGCATTATATGCATTATATGCCCAGAATTAAAACCACATCAACAATGGACTACTAATAGACGTGCAGTTTATCTGTACAAATCAAACTACAGAGGCACAAATGGATGCTTAGTGTCTAGTCACAACCAACACAAATTATTAGACAAATATACAGACTGAAATGGGGGCTTATGGTCACCAAGACTGAATGAATAACTGTAATAATAATGGGAACAGTGATATTTATTGACACCTGGTGGGTGATAGGTCTTGTGATGAGTGTATATGCATTACCTCACTCAATCTCTACTACTACCCCATGACCTAGGTATTATAGTTATCTCCACTTTATTATGAAGGTTAAAGAATTTGCCAATCATGACATAACTAGTAACCCGCAGAACTTATTAGCTATATGAATCAGGCAGCAGTGTGACTCCAGAGCTTACAATCTTAGCTGCTATACCATGCTGTCTATTAAATGTCCTACATGTTAAGAAACAAACATGCTCCATCAGTGAGTATACCATGTAACCTTAAACAGGCTTTAAGCATTTCATTTTACTTTGCTTTTCACATAAATTCTAATATTCCCTTATAACAATAACATGCCTATTATAGAAAATTTAGAATATAGAGAAAAACAGAAAAAAGCAGAGCAGGAGAATCACTTAGTTCCACTACCCAAAGACACATACTCAAATTTTTATAACACTTCTTTCTAATCTTTTCTGTATTTATGTTTTTAAAGTTCTACAAGATTGTAATCACTGTCCACACACAATTGTAAAAGCATTTTTCCAAAATTTTTTTGAATTTTTGTTAACTTATAAAGAAATCACATTTTTTTCCTAGAAACAATTTTTCATTGGCTATATGATATTCCGTATTTCCTTCCATTAATTAAGTAACCTCTCTTGTATTGCTACACATTTTGGTTGAAGGGTTGTACTAACTTCAGCTTGTAATAATGCCACCAAAGTATCCAAGTTACAGCTTCATATTTTTAATTAGTTATAAAGCAAAGTTTGTTCAGAGAAGAGCCTTGAAAATTACTGCAATATATTAAAATTTAGATCTAAAAGGAAATGACTTTGGTTTTGCTAGCCCCACAAGTATATCTCCTTTTGCTCATGAAACAGAAAATATGCTATCAAAAGATTGTCAACTACATTCAAGTATATGAAATATTCCATACACATATCTTTTTATATAACTGTAGTTTTAAATAATTATAAAAATGTAAAGGATGAATAAAACTGTAAGAAAGAGTAAGAAGTAGACCAGGACACTGAGTGTGGCTATGAAACCCACAAGCAAGACTATGCATAGGACGACTTCAAATAGTCTCATCTAGAGAAAGGAGCTGAGCAGACAGTCACTTTATACACTTTCTAGGTTTCGGAGTCCTGGGGATAGATGAAGACAGGGTTTCTTGCTTTCATGAGATTAGAGTAAAACATTTCTTTTTAAAAATTTTACCAACTATAAACTTGGAAATTACTAGCTCTAAGCTTTAACCTATTGCTTTGTCTTCAAATTCCACCTCAAATAGACTTCTCTCATCCCTCAGGCCAGAATGCTTCTCATTTTCCACTAGGGAACCCAAAACACTGAGTATCTTTATCATGGTTGAAATAGTTCTATGTTGTTTGATCATTACTGGCTACTATTAGACCTTAACACTAAAATATTTTAAACATCTGAATTTAAAATGTATTATGTATACTATAACACTATAAACAAAGAGGTAAAAATAAACAGTAACTCAATTTCAAGGAACTTTAACATTTAAGAAATCTTCATCCTGTTGAAGACAATCAAAATAAAAACTTACCACTATTTTGGCCAAGATGCCATCATCACTTGCATCTAAGGTAACCACAGCTTTGTCAGTCTCTATTTCACATAAGGCATCTCCAGTACTCACAGCTTCACCTACAAAACAAGACTGGGTTTGTTTTGTTTTTTAAAATATGAATATTAGTTATGTGAGATGGTGTGTGTAAAGTGTGTAAAACATGATAATAAGTACCAAAACACTCAATAGCTATTTCTGGGCTGTGGCATTACAAGTAATTCTCATATTGCGTGTGTGTTTCTGTGGTGTATATGTGTATGCTTTGTTGCATTTTCCAAAAGCTCAATAATGGACCTAAATTATATCTGTTATAATAAAAAAGTGATTATAGAGATTATTAAGCAAACATTAAAAATGAAATCGCATTTTATAGAGAATAGAAAGGGATGCGTATCTTCCTCCAAACAAATCAATTCCAGACCCCATATTTCTTCCTTTTCAATATATTTTGATTATTATTCCTTAAGAAGACAGTTTTACAATTAATAACACCTCCGGGTTAACACTGTACGCGAGTTCAGAAACCCTGTCTGCACCACAGAGCACAAATGAATAAAAACATATTAAGCATAAAGAGAGAAAATCAAAGACATAGCTAAGGTCAAATAAGAAACACCTCTGTGCAACAGAAACAGTATAGATATTCAAAAATGCTGAGCAGGACCTGACTTGCTGGTTTCTGGAGCTAAAAGCAGGTTGTGGGGAGGAAGGGTGAAGTACAGTAGTTTCCCTTGGAGCAAAGGGAACTAAAAGTGGCCTGCTGAAGCAGGGGACTCAAATCGATTCTCTGCTTAAAGCTAGGGCTGGCTGCAACCAAAACCTTTGACTAGAACTATGGCTTTATATCAGAAATGAGGGTCTAAGAAGGTAGGGGACAAAAACACTACCTCAATACCAGAACAGAGTCAAGCCACCCTCTGGTTCCATTACTTTATCTGCCAATATCCCAAATATCAATAGCAAAATCCCTGGATTGAGGGGCGGGGAAAGGGAGACTCAGGGGACAGGTGGGAAGACATCGAAACTAAAACAGAAACATTCCACTCAAAAGTAAATTGCAAAACAAAGTTCCAAAACATGAAGAAATTTAATGCTAAGAAAGAAAACCACAAAAATCAGTAATTGGAACAGAAATTCATTTCAGATGCAATCCATTTAGTGCAACCCACCAAAGATTTTAAAATAAGTATCTTAAGTATGTTCAGAAATAGAAATGAAGGTATAAGATCCATCACAAGAACAAGAGATAAAAAAGAAAAATAATGTACAGACATAAAGCACCATCAGGTTGAAAGAAAAAAAACTAATTAGAAATCTTGGAAATGAAAGATACAATTAATGAAATAACAAGAAACAATCAATGGGATATATTCTACAGTCGACATAGTGGAAGAATGATTTAGTAAATTAAAGATAGCTTCAGTGAACTACCCGGAACTTAATATGGGCAGACAAAAGGACAAGTAGAAAAGAGCAGTTAAGGGACATAAATTGAGGCTGCAGTGTTTGTCCAATGGGGTTCCAAGGGAAGAGATGGGAGAGAATAGTGGACAAGCAATACTTGAAGAGATAATTGCTGAGAATTTCCCAGAGTTAAAAAGAGATATATATCCTCAAAATGAAAGAGCACTGAAAGAGTTTAGAGTGTGGTTATCTACAGTGTATTGACTAGGAGGGGGCACAGGGAGCCTTGGAACTTGCTGGAAATATTCTGTATCTTCACTAGGTATTAGTAACCTGGCTATATGTGTATGTAAAAATTAATTGAGCTTACACTTTGTGCAGGTAATACCTTGATAAAAAGAATTAAACAGAAAAAAAGAGTATTACATTGTATAAACATGACTCCACGTCATACACTGTATAGAAATTACATACTTTCAACAATTGAAACACAATCTTAAAAGCTATCAGAGGGAAAAAAATAGATTACCTCAATGGAATGACAGACTGAGAGCACACTTCTCAGCAGCTGCAATAGAGGTCAGAAGACAACGGAGTAGTATCTTCAAAAAGCTGAGGAAAAATAACTGTCTAGAATTTTATATGCAGCCAAACCATCATTCAAGAACGAAGGAAAAGTTCAGACATAAAAGCTAAGAAAATTTACCACTTACTGATGAGCTCTTACAAAATGCAGTTTATCAAAAAGAAAGGTAGACACAGAGGGGACCCATGGGCTACACAAAACAAGTTACCATAGAAACTGATAAAGTGTTAACATTTAATCATTTAAAAGGTAATTTCTGAGGGGTTAAAAATGTTTACAACTCAAACATTAAAAAAAACAATAAGACGGATAAGGGTATTTTTAGGTGATAAAACATGCTAAGAACTTGGACACAGATAGGAGGAGAAAATACTGGATAACTCTAGACTGCACTGGCAAAATATAATTAAATATGTATCCTAAAAACTTAATGCTGTATACCAAAAAATATAAAAATGGAAACATAACCTACAACATTCATAAAAGCAGGAAATATAGAAAATAACAAAACCTATTATCCTATTGAAGGCAGATGCATGAAAAGAAAAAAGCAAAGGATAAAAACAGAAAACACAAAAATGGTAGAAGTCCAAACACATCAGTAATTACAATTAACATAAATGGATTAAAACCACCGACTAAAAGAGATATCAAAATGAATAAAAAAATAAAATCTAGTTAAATGTTGCTTATAAGAGACAGACATAAACAAAAACAGAATAAAAAGTAAGATATAGAAAAATGTGAAGCATACAAATACACCCCCTCACATACACACCAAAAACAGCTGGTACAGCAATATGAATAGGCACACTCAATAAAAGAACATGAAGGAAAATCTAAAGCGCTGACCTAACAAATATGCTCTAAAAGTTCACTGTACTGAAACTCCTTCACTGTATATCAAGATTTTCACACAGATGGTTATACTATATCTCAGTTAAAATAGTTCAGAACCACCAATACAAACTATTTTAATGAAATAAACTTATCTGTTAGATATTTATCAAACACCTGAAAGGTGCTCAGTCTAACCCCAAAGAGATTTTCCTACTCAACCAATATTTATTGAAAATGTATTAGAGCACTGAGGATACAGCAGTGGGAGGAAAAAAGTGGTTAAGATTTCTGACCTCAAGAAGCATCCTCACTATCTTGTGATAAATTAATTGGAAATAACAGTGGAATTAGGTGAAGTCAGGATGGTATGGGAACACTCAGCAGGGGTATCTAATTCAGTTTTTGAAAGGTGAGAGCAGCCTTCCTTAAAAAAAAAAAAAAAAAAAAAAGACATCTAGTCTGAGCCTGAAAAGATGAGGAGGAGACAATCAAGTAAAGGGGCAAGTGATCCAGGCAGAAGGCACAACACACCCAAAGCTCTCAAGGAGAAAGAAAACAGGAAACTTCGGAGGATCTGGCTAATACTACCTGAGAGAAGTGATGAGAGATTAGGCTGGTGAGGTAAGCAGGAATCCCACCCCAAAAGGAAACTTGTCTGTCATACAGAGAAAGCTACGGTGCCAGATTATACAATCTCACATCACTTCTTTATATGACAGATGTCCTAGGGCAGTTAAGACAGATTATATTTCAAAAGGAAAGGAATCACACCCTAATATGTTTCTGCTGTAACCATGGAAAAAACAATTGAACCAGGCAACCTAGCAATTAAATACTTCTTTTAGACACCTAGAAAAGAAATTCTGCCCATAGGAAAACAATAAAATAATGTTTTATCACTTGTGCTTGCCTATTTCAAATTCCAAACACCCTTTGAGAACGATTCACAAATTCGACCTCAGCCATAGATCAACCTAGATGATTTTGTTCCTATTCCTGAATTCCTATAGTAATTGTAATTAATTTGAAATGAATCACAAATTGTAGTATGAAATGTTATGTTAACTTCTATTAATTACTTTTTTAAAAATTGGTTTTCTTCTATTTACCAAACTATGAGCTTCTTCATAATAGGAACAGGACACAGTTTAAGTGTTTTACATTCTACCTCATTCCCTGGGACTCCAGCTATTGCCTCATACATAATGAGTTTGAGATTAAAACACTTCAGAAAAAAATTGCAATAATATCACAAGTCCTCATTTCCTCATAAGGTATACATCAAACTGTCTTTTATGTTTCTTTCAGTTCTAACATTTGATTTGTAGCATGTTTCTGACATTTAAAAACTTAGGTATCCTGTTTCCTTTTTATTTTGTTTTAATTAAAGGTACACCTATTCACAAAACATATATATATATATTAGCTATATGAGAATCCTGAGAGAGAGATAAAATGTAAAGAAACATAGAGAAAAGCATCTATTGTGTGGTGACCCTTCCCCAGGAACCACAGCAAGGTTTAAAACATTGTGCTATTATGTAAGGCACATTACCCCTCATATCACAAAACTAGGGCTCTATCTGTCAATAATCAAACATAATGTGAATGCCAAAGAAAAATTTTGAGACAAATAACGAGCCATGAAGATTCCAAATATACTCAAGTTTCAGCCCTGGTCAACAATTTAGTGCTGTAACTTGGAAAACGTGCAAGGCACAGTAGTTACAAGGAGCTCTTCCAACTCAGACACAGGTTTATTCCAAGCTCTGACACTTACTGGTAATCCTGACCAAGTTACTTAATCTCTCTGACTCTAAGGAAAGTTTGAATGTGCAGCTATTATAAAAAAAATCATGGAACTGCAAATGTTAACTTTTCACAAACCTCTTCAAATAACACTTCACAACATCTTTAGATTAAAAAGTTATGTATGTTGTTAATAACCATTAAGAACCAAGACTCATTCTAGCTCCCTACTCCATACGCCATCATTTCAGACAGATCATTCAACATACATTAGTATATAAGGCATTTATAAGTAAGCACTGGGTATAAACAAAACAATAAGATAGGGTTCTGTTCACAACAAGTTCAGAGTCTAGAGGAGAAGACTTAGAAGCTAGCACAGAGCATCATGGCTGGTGTGAGGTGACAGACGGCTCCTCAGCTGCCACGTTGAGGGCTGACTGGTTGTAGAAGGAGATGGCAGCCTTGCCGTGTTCCTGCGTGTCCCTGTGCCATCTC